CAATGGTCCCGGCCAGGTGGTGGCCAGCAGTCGCTACTTGCGGCTGGCCATGTTCGTCGTGGTCAACATCCTCATTTCGTCCTGCGCGGTGTTCAGTGTGGTAAGTCCCTGCGCCAAAGGTATGCCAGTATCGTTGAAAGGGTATGTGCAACGCAGACGGAGCGTTCCCGACCCTTATTTTAATCATTCCTTTCCGTCTGTCTGTCCGTCCGTATGTTCAGTTTCTATCTAATACTAAAGTAACGGGTATCTGATAGACGAGCAACTCAGTGTTCCGCGGTACGCGACTAAATTTTGTGGAGATGCGCATTGAAAAGTCTCAGTATTCAAAATAGGTCAGCTTGGATATTTTAATTAAGAAAGGGTGCATGGAATATATTTCCAAATCAGTTATCACAGATTTTAATTCGTCACCACCACCTCATGAAATACGCATTAATCATTCTTGTCCGTCTGTCCGTCCGTCCGTATGTTCAGTTTCTATCTAATATTGAAGTAACGGGTATCTGATAGACGAGCAACTCAGTGTTCCGCGGTACGCGACTAAATTTTGTGGAGATGCTCAGTCTCAGTATTCGAAATAGGTCAGCTTGGATATTTTAATTAAGAAAGGGTGCACGGAATATATTTCCAAATCAGTTATCACAGATTTTAATTCATCACCACCACCTCATGAAATACGCATTCTAGATAAACTACACCGTGCCCGACGGGGTGAACAAGGAGCCGTCGTCCAATCATACCATCCTGAACAGCAATTTTTCGAGTGAGTTCATAAACTCCACCTTGGGGGACATGCAGCTGTGGGAAATCGACCATGCCATACCGATTGCCCCGGTGTTTCTGTATTGCTGTGCCATAAGTTTGGCAGCGATTTCTGCCTTTCTGCGATCTGGATTTATCCTCAAGCTGATTGCCATGCTGGTGGCCGTAATCGCACAGGTCACAGTCCTTGGATACAGCGATCTCTTTGAGATGTACAACGATACCAACATTAAATATGGGTGAGAAAAAAACTCATCAAATAGACACTTACCTTATTTTTAAATCCGTATCTTCTGCTTTTCAGCTTGCCACTTGAGATCAAGGGATTCCTTTTGCTTCTGGTGATCATCTTAGTGCTGCACACCCTGGATCGCCAGGGTGAATATGTGGCTCGCACGGATTTCCTGTGGAAGGCCAAACTGAAGGTGGAGCAGGAGGAGGTGGAAACCATGCGTGGCATCAACAAGGTCTAAATGAAACATTTTAAACGCCCAGAAGCAATGCGATGCTTATTGAAATTGGATTTCCATCTCTAGATTCTGCTGGAGAACATCCTGCCGGCCCACGTGGCCACCCATTTCCTGCACCTGGAACGATCCACGGAGCTCTACCACGAGAGCTACTCCTGCGTGGCCGTCATGTTCGCCTCCATTCCCAACTACAAGGAGTTCTACGATGAGACGGATGTCAACAAACAGGGCTTGGAGTGCCTGCGTCTGTTGAACGAAATAATTTGTGATTTCGATAAGGCAAGCCAAACTGATCTTATATTTTATATAAGATATATTTTATCTTATACTTATATTACTATTTTCAGCTTCTCTTGAAACCAAAGTTCAGTGGGATCGAAAAGATTAAGACTATAGCAAGCACATATATGTGTGCCTCGGGCTTGAGACCCGGAAAGGAAGACGGCGCTACGGTAGGTGTAATCTTCCCTAGAACTCGCTCCAGCTATAATCTGTGTCTATCTCGTCTAATTTATATCTTTCCAACGCTTTCACTAATCCTGTAAATAACGTCCTGGCTCGATTGCCAATCTAGTCACGTAGCTTTGCGGTAAGTCTTTAAGGGTTTCGTCTTTAAAGTTGCGACATTCTCATTCTCATCTCCAAGCGATGATGAAATGCCCACATTATCAGATCCCAGCAGCTTCGAATTGAATGTATCCAATTTAACCCAAGGAAAACGCGACGGAATTCAGTTTAAATTCCAGCCTTCTCCCCCAATAAATCCCAATCGACCGAATGCTATTTACTGTTCAAATGCCTTTTAATCGCCTCTAAGAGCTTTAATTAAATTTTTACAACTACCTAACAAAGAGGAAATCAAATCACATTGGCTCAACAAAGGCCAGAGGAGACCAATAAAAAAAGGGTCGCCAAATGAGGGTCGAGTATGGGGCAGGGATTGGGATTAGCTGAGTCCGGAAGCAGGCGGAGGGTTTCTATGAGGCGGGGAGCAATGAGCACTAAATCGAATCGACTAACGCATTGCTTCTTTTTGTTTTCCCATTAAGGACGAGAAGCGCACGGAGGAGCACAACGTGGTCATTTTGGTCGAGTTTGCGATTGCTTTGATGTCCATACTGGACTCGATTAATCGCGAGTCCTTCCAACGATTCCGTCTCCGCATAGGACTCAATCACGGTCCGGTGATTGCCGGCGTGATTGGTGCCCAGAAACCACAGTATGACATCTGGAGCAATACGGTCAACGTGGCCTCACGCATGGACTCATGTGGCGTAATGGGACGACTTCAGGTGAGTGGGCATCCTGGACTCGGAAGTCATAGTCCTTTATCAAACTCAAACTCGAATATGGCAGCTTCTTAACAGTTGAAAACAAAATTTGGGTACCATAACTTTAATACCTGCTATGGAGTGTAGTAAGGAAAGTGAAGTAAAGATGTGAAGTAAATAAGTATTTACGATTTTATGTCAGGCAATACCCATAGATGTAAATAGTATTCGCATTTTTGAGCGCCCAGTAACATTTCTTGAACATTAGCATCACTATTGAAGTTCTGTGACATATTGTAGCGAATATATCAATAGACCCCTGTTATATACATGCCGAAACTAACAAATTGGCTGAAAAGAATCCTTCAAGTAAACCCAACTTTCGTTTCTCCCCAGACGACGGAAAACACGGCCAAGATATTGATGACCGCCGGCTACGAGTGCGAGTGCCGAGGCCTGACGTATGTCAAGGGCAAGGGCAATCTAGTCACCTACTTTGTAAAGACACCTTTCGATGGGAAGTTGTAGATCGCGAATCACCCAGTTGCTGTTGATACTATTTAGTGAATATTTATGATCATGTACACGTAGCCTAGGCCAAAAGTCACTTAGAAGCATCTTCTTATTTATTCTTATTCTAGAGCTTTTCATTTAGTTGTAATGGATTGCAAGCATTTAAAGTACGTTGCTCATCACACGCGCAGTTGAGTATTTGTTAGCAACAATTTGTTTTTAGTTAGTTGGTAGAGTAACTTGTTATTGACTGTTTCGTACGATTTGTTAGCTAATCTTATGCGAAGCCATCACTTAAACAGCGAATATTTATACACGATTCGAATTAATGATGATATGCTATATGATATGTAGACAATGAAATGCAAACTCGCCCACCCCAACCCAAAAACATATCTAGTATCTGTAGTAACCGTTTCTGTTTGATTCTTATCTGAGGCTCTGAAGATATGTTTCTCTCTCCACTTCGAACACTTAACACTAAACAAATCAGTATGTTTAAACTATTCTATTTGATCGAACGACACTAGTTAAATTCCGTAGAAAGAATCAATTAAAACTCTATATATTTTTTTACTCAGATGTTTTTTACTACTATTAAACTATTCACTACAGCATATTTTGATATATTTATGTATATAACTATATAAGGAAAAGCCACCAAAGCGAACTTATTTATAAGACACATCTATGAGCTCAACAGCCGCGTCTTGTGTACCTTACACATCCCAACAAATCTCACAATACAATACCTCCGATGAAAACTGACCTGCTTTGATGCGCGAATTGTGTCCCGATGGATTTCAACGCACTCTCAAGATTTGGAAACTGATTTTGAAGTATCTACGCTGGAATACAATAATTGAAAAAGCTGTTTGTATACACACTAAACACGCTGCAGTAGTTCTTAATATAGATTCATTGAACAATATTTGATATTATCAGACAATTTAATTGATTTTGATTAAATGATAAATAATGGAAATCAATAAAATATTATTATGTATTCAAAAATTAGTGTTTTCCTTACGAAAATATATCTTTTTGCAGTCGTACAGCAACAGCGGTTACTTAATATGGAAAATAACTAAGGAAGCTTCCATGTCTTTAAAAATTTTTATATTATCTTTTTAATTTTTATGCACGTCATGGCAGTAGTTTTCAAAGGCAACACTTTTTATGACATAATGGTGTTGAATGGCAGAAAATTCGATCTTGAGCGGCTCCTATGTTGTAATTGAGTGGGGAGGAGCTTGTTTATATGGTCGTCTGCTGCGGAGGAATTCCTAAAGTGCTTCGGGGGCTCAGCTTACAAACAAAATCTTGTAAGCAAAGCGTAGACCGTCTTGAATGCTGGGTCAGCAGTGTTTCCCAGCCACAGCGCCTCGTCCGTCGCAGCCCTTGCTAGAACTGGATCGAAAGGAGCTGGCTCAGCGTTCTCGGGATCTCGAGTAGCCGTGGCTACAAGTATACACACGACGCATGCGCAGAGCTCGAGACTCCGCCGAGATCGCTCCTCCAGTGTGCCTTTAGTTTCAGTTGCTGTCGCGACCTTCCAAGTGGCGGAGCTGCAAAGTATCCCAGTTCCTCGCGAAGATATATATTTTTTTATGTTTCAATATTGAATGTGTTCAACTTTCAATTTGTTGTCCCAACGCAAAGGCTAATAGTTTTTCCAAGTAAGCGTGAATACACGTAGGTTCATTTACGCATGGACTTTAAATATTTTTAAAATAATCCCTAAAGCTAGTAAAATATGGAAACAATTGACATAGGTCGCGAAATTGTTGTGTATGCGTTTCCATGAGCAGATCCACATTAATAAAGGAATCGAATCAGCACACATTTAAACAATTTCTGAAAAGCCCGTTTATTGTGAAAGATTCTGAGGGAACAGTGGAATTTAAGATTCGGACTTGAGGATTGTAGTGGCATACCGGCTGTGCCTTAAGCTGTTGAGTACACAAAAATACATGTTTTATCAGTTTAAATACCAAGTGTGTATTCGAATAACAAAATTGTTCTAACTAAATGGTCTTAAAGCTACTCTTGTTTCTTAAATATGATCTAAGGATTATCCCTGTTCGGATAAAATCAGGTTTAAAAGTAAACAAAGTATTGGATACACTATCGGTTCACTAGGATTAGTGCTTATTCAAGTAGTTCAGATTCGAGTTTCCAGCTTATTATAAATTAAAAGTTATAACTAAGATACAGAGTTCAACTAACGGAGAGCTAAGACGATCAAGGAAAAACAAAAGGTATAACAAATCACAGAACAAACTGCAAATGAAATCAGGAATCTAGCGATGCCGTGGTCACGTCTCTAGAAGTGCGGCAGGCAGACCTTGCCGGCAAAGAGCTCGGAAACGACGGTGATCCACAGGGCCAGGACGAACATGATATAGGAAATGCCAATCTTAAATGTGTTTGGCAGCTGGTAGGCCTGTCCGCCGATCTCCTCTACGTGGAATCCCAGCGGGAAGACGACGGCCGCCATGCAGAACAGCACCATGGCCGTGAATCCCACCCAGCGGGCGTAGGGAATCACATTCCGGTTGCAGGAGGACGATGCCAGCAGGATCACGGTGGTGGTCACGCAGATGCAGCCCACAAAGATGCAGATCAGTGCAATCAGCCATTCCGGTTGCAGTTCGGGCGTGTAGCACACCTGGGGTCGGTTATATAGCGTCATGCAGGTCCACATCAGTCCCAATCGGATGTCACCTGCAAATATCCAACGATTTACATTTTATCTAGCACCTGGCGCTTCCGTGTTTGCTATGCCTACCCGTTCCCGACTCTGTGATGATCCAATCCGGCAGTGCCAGACTCACAATCGCGAACACATCGGCTGCCATGAAAAGCGTTGCACTAATTGTCGTTAGTTTGTCCATCCTGATCCGCAGTTTATGTTTTTATTCGCTTATTTATGTTTGGATTCGTCTTGCTTTTCTGCTGCCCTTAAAACACTAAAAAATACCATACGGCGATAGCATGTATATATTTATCGAAAGAACTAGTTACTGGAACTAGAAGTACCACCAGTTCACTGCTGGCGCGTAAATTTAAACTAGAACTTTACAACTTTTTCTGATCACTGTTGATGTAGAATTTCATGAAACCTGAATCGAAATCCCATACGAATGTTAAATATACTTGCAAGCAAATAACCAAATTATTAATAATATTTTCAAATCCTCATTTGAAATAGTAAATTCAGTGTAATGTTGCACACTGGATTGAAATATGAAATTTACCTAAGCGATATAGCAAGCCTTATAACGTTTTTGATAACTAAAACCATATTCAATGACCCATATTTCCTATTAACTGCTAATTAGAGGAGCAAGCTTATATTTTGGTAAGCGATCCAGTTTGGAGAATTAAATAACAAATTTATACTACTGCTATTATACTACTAAACTTTTAAGAGCGTTGCCTATTTAAAATGCGGAATTAAAAAGTGTTGAAACCCAATTTCGACAGAAAAAATCTATCTATCTTTCCAATAGGTAAAAAAGGACCTTCACAGCGAACCGTGATTGATTGCGAAGAATGTAGCCCAAGTAGATCGTAAGTACTCACAAAAGTGCATGGAGCTTCATGAGCCACTAATTTATCCATCTGCCATGCACTTGGATTAGAGACTGGCTGCTTTGTGAAAAAAATAAAGTTAACATTCCAATTATAAGTGAGGGATTTCAATGTGGCCACGTCACATTCACCTGGCCGCCGCTGACGTGTCCTTAGTGTACTTGGTTCGTCCAGGTTGACCCAGGTTATGCGGCTGGTCAGCGCGAAAAACGGGGTGGGTTCAGTTCAGGTGGATAAGTGGATTGTTGGCATAGGTGGCCAGTGGCTATATCTGCCCAGTGAAATCTATTGGGTGAACCGGCGGTGTATGCCCCATAATTGCCGCTCGGGAGCTTGTGGGTCTGGCTTTTTTATCGCCTGCGGGCCATGTAATTGTCGTATTATTATTAGCAAATTTCATTTGCATTCATTCACTTTTCCGATGTGCAACGCAACATTTGCGCGGTTCGGCTTTCCCCGCACTGGATTGGATTGGATTTCGGCGCGACATCGAGGAGCCCTAACCGCGAAACTCGATACCTCCACGAAATCCTGCGGAGAAGGGCCGGCCACTAATGGAGATTTGTTTGTTGATTAGTTCGATTCCTGTTTACAAATGGATCTAAATTATGCTGGGCTGTGATATCGGGACATTTGATTCATTTTCAAACATATCAAAGTGAAAGAGTAAGTGAGCACGCAGAGAAATTTTGTCGTTTTGGTATCTTATTAGCTTTCCTATTGCCACAACTTAAAAATATATATTTTGTTAAAAATATTCAAATTTAAGTAAAATGTAAGAACTATTTTCTGCACAACGTACAATTGTTTATCGCCATTTCGACATATTTTAATGTAATACACTTATTTATTATTACTGCGATAGGTATATTTTAGGGGTACTATGTACAATTTTTGTTTAACCCACACGATTTTTGAGGACAGTAATTCGTAGCCCCTGCCATGCTTACTAATTTTACTCCCATTGTTCTATTTACAGTGAACAAGTTTGGTCGAAAGTCAATTAGAGCCAACTCCGCGCAATCGGAAAGCCTAAACCAGCCATCCTACACCACAGGCAAACAATAACTACGCTTTTGTATACAATTTTCAATTATATTAAAGGAAAGGGAAGGTGGCCCGCTGGCAGTTCTTAGCACGACATGGTCGTGTCCAAATCAGAATCCGAGTTTCTGTCTGTGTCCGAGCCACAACCTATGAGTAAGCACCAGGCAGCTATCGCCGGGTAAGGTTAATAACTATGAAGCATCGTTCTGGCGCAGTAATACCACTAATGGGTTTTTTCTACACAGAAATCTAGAAACTTTGCTTAGTACCCATGCAGATGAAGAGGACTCTGAGCTGAGCCCTGAAAGCGAAGGAAATCCAGAAGGTGCCAACCAAGAAGTCGATGGTCCAGATAACGCAGAACATCTGAAGGTCAATCAAGCAGACTTCAGAAGTCCTGCAAAGGAAGACACAAGCAGACCTCTTGTCCTCGAGGAAAGACACTCGCTGTCCATGTAAGCCCCACCAAATTTGTCTGCACAACTCGATTTAATGGCACTTTCCCAAACCCAGAGCTGAAACAAAAAAGCGGAGGGAGAGTGTGTTTTCCAACAAACTACTCTTCATACCCAAGGAACTCGCGCGCAGTGAACTTCAACAGCGCACCAGGACACTAAATAGCTGCGCCAAAAATCGGGAATACCATCTGCGAATGCTGAAGTTTCCGGTGGGTTCGGGTCGTCCTCGGTACGTGGCTAAGAAAATGAAGGAGGCATGTCACCCGAGATCCAGAGAATGCGGCAATGATCCCGAAACTAGCGGCATCAAGCACAACGAATTCCTTGATGAGCCGCCAGAAGTCTTTCAAAGCTCAAGGGAGGTGCCCCTAAACATGCCCGACTTGGAAGCCGAAAATAAGGAAAGGGACCAACTATGCGATGATGAGGAAATGAATATCATGCTGTACGACTTTGTGAAGAAGGAAGTTGAGTCTGACGCGGATTCGGAAAAGCTAAACCGGAAAATCCTCCAGAGCCAGCGTGAAAGTGTTATACGAACTAGCAGCACGAAACGCCAGCACTATCCCTATTTTTCCTGGCACAATCCAGATCGGCAGTATGAGGATTTGAAGGTGGAGATTGGGGAGCCATGGCAAAGGGAGCCGGAAATCGAAGTGGGCTGCGGTGCGGAGAATCGTTTACATCTCGCCGAGTGCAAGACGGAAGTGGAGGAGGAAGTGGACGAGGACGCGGAAGCGGACGAAGAGGTGGAGGAGCAAGCGAAGCATGCCCAAGGCTTGGTAAAACCTGAACAGTTTAAGCCACCATCGGAAGAGGAGCCTCGGTCACTTCAGTTACCTCAACAACCACAAGCAGTCGGCTGCTTTTACTCTTCCACGCGGAACCAGTTAACCCACGACGCTCCAAGCGAAGTTGCTGAAGTGCCTGTGCAACCCCTGGCTCCCGAGAGATCGGGATCCGCTGAGGATTGTGGACAAACGGCACTACGTCAGCAGCTAATTCATCACATTGTGCAACCGAATGTCTGCAACGAGGCAGCATACCAATCCATCTCTTGCAACAATAACGCCGTTGATCGAGTGAATCAGAATCTGAGACCACAGCCGATGTTGGAGTCTTCTGGGACCCATGAGGCGTCTCTCCAATGGCATCCCCAAAACGCTGAGAGCTACTCGAGTCCAAATCAGGTATTCCACAATCAGCAGCTTCACGTCCAAAATCAACAATACCTGCAACATCAATTCAAACTGCCAGCAAGTCAGCAGCAACATGAAGCGATTTTCCAGCAGCAGCAGCAAGCAGCGGAAGATAAGCTGCAGCAGTTGAGGACCCTGTATCAGCGGATCAAGAGCCGCGAGAAGGAGCAAGTGCATCATCTGAGCAAGTCCTTGAAGAAGATCCTGGACGAGCGCCTGACCTGCGAGCGAAAGCATGCGGAGGAGAAGCGCTTGTATTCGCTCAAAATGGAGAAATTCAAGGCACTGGAGGAGAAGCTCAAGCTGGACAGGGAGCAACTGCAGCGCCAACTGAAGTCCGATCTGAGAACTCTGGAGCTGAGAATGGCTGACCAGCAGCGCCAGCTGGAGGAGAAGGCTTTGGCCTGGACCTGGCAGCACCATCAGCAGCAGCAGCAACACTTGCAGCGGCAACATTTGCTGATGCAACAGCAACAGCAACCGCAACCGCAGCAGCAGCAGCACTTTGTGCATCAAGAATCCCATATAAACCCGGAGGCCTATATGATGCGGCAACACTCCTTCCTGTGCGATCCATCGTACATATACTCAACTGCCTATCAGGAGTCAGTGGTGTATCAGCAGCGCATCCAAGCCTACCATGAGGAGCAGAACTACCATGCGGCAGAGTCGCGCACCACAGCAATTGAGCTGCAGAGAAGAGTGCTCCTTCCGCCGCCTCCATATTGCCAACCCAGCAGCAGGACCTGCACTGAAGTTGTCGGGGTCGGATCCGTATCGTCGCCAAGTGAGAAGTTCCTTGCCACCAGCTTCACAGATCCTGCCCGGCCACAGGAACCCGCAGTCCCAGCCCCTGGAGCCCAGAAACGACCACTTCGGAATATCCTCTGTCATGAACAACTACGTGGCTAACTTTATGAACGATCGATAATTACTTTTAACTGCAATTAATTGTGTAAAGTATGTTACTTGTGATATAAGTGAGAACTACTATTCTATATTCATCCTATAACAAAATCACTTTCTTCGTATGCGTAAGTTTTTTATTTATCATGAAACTTGTTTGAGCAGATGTAAAATTATTATAAGCTAATAAATGAAAAACCCCCTAAATTTAATTAAATTAAATTACAATTCTTGGCAGCTAATAGCATATTTTGCACTATTGTGGGTTTAAATATGAAACCTCCAAATATTCATAAATTTGAATTAAGAAATAATGGCCAGCTACTGTTAAAGTCTTGGAATTTTATTACACTTTCTTCTTTTACGGGGTGTGGCTTTTGGCCCCCGCCCTAATTCAATGCCTTCGTTACCGACCATCTCTTGGAGGATTTCTCACCAAGCCGGGATGCCAGAAGCAGTTGGAGCAGTTGCAGCGCGGACAGTGCCAGCAGTTTCCGCACTTCATGCACACGTTGCCGGTCACGTGCTGGGGGGCCGCGGAGCAGGGGGAAGGAGCTGGTATGGACGCACCACTGTCCCACAGATCCTTGTTCCGGAGGCAGGACCGACTGCGCTTCGGACTGGCCGAACGCGCTCTGGGCAGCCCGGCGGCGGAGGCAGATGTGGCTGGTGGTGGGGCTGGGGACGCAGATGGTGGTTGTGGTGGTGAGGGGGCGCAAGGAGCTGCCGGCGGACAAGGAGGCTCTCTCTTCGCAGAACCGGCATCTGGCTGATCTAGAAACCGAACCGTGGGCGCATATAGCTGGAAGGCCAGAGGCTGAGGCATCTGCAGCTCACAACAGGACCTCTCCCGTTCCTTTCGCAATTCGGCCAGCAGGCGGTTGAAGGACAGGTCATACTGCACCAGTTGCTGCATCGGCAGCTGCGAGTCCTGGGCGGGATTCGTCAGCAGCTGCTGCTGCGGCAAGTGCTGCGGTTGGGCCAGCGGAACCAGGTTCCAGGATGGCGGAACTGGCATCAGGCTGCACAAATAAACGGGCTGACTGGAGCCACCATTAAAACTGGGTGGTGCCAGGCCAAAGATCTGCGGCATCACTGCTAGTGGCCCATCCTGTCGATGGGATCTCCATGGTTTTGGCTGCGAATCGTACACAGCGCAGGGTCCTCCGTTTGGACAGCACTGGCCATGAAAGCTGCAAGCAGAGGGCTGGACGGGATTTGGAATTGAGGTGGGATATGGATGGGCACTAGGACTAGCTGTTCCTGGCTGGCCGAACCCATCCAAGGCGCCGCCTCCATTGAACTGCGTGCAGCTCGAGCAGATCATATGATTCTTGTATTCATCCAAATGGAAGGAATTGGGCAGTGGCACATTGCAGTCAATGCTAGAGAGGGTAAAAGGGTGCATTTCAATGATAAATGATTTTAAAGAGTTAAGTTTTGTAACTAAAAATTGAGTTATCCTACAGCGAATATTGTTTAAGTGCTTAACACACATTTTTAAGTGATCTACAGTCTCACAGGTAGTAAAGATATTATTTAGTCCAATCATGTAGCTATATTTTTGAGATATACTTGTATGATAGCCCACCTCAGACCCTCTGGACACTCGGTGACCAGGCACATGCCCAGGCGCGGTGGCTCCACTTCCGACTTGGAGGACGCGTTGTTGGTCGACAGTGGAGCGTAGGACATGGTGAACTGATGCTGGGAGTTTCCCTGCGGTTGCAAGCCATTTCCGTTTCCGTTTCCGCTTCCGTTTCCATTGGCGATCAGCTTTCCCGACGAGGTTGCATTGCATCCGTGCTCACAGCTCTCCGTGCAGAACATCTTCAACTCCTCACCACCCGAAGAGGCCAACTCCCGGAAATTACAATTTTGTGCATGTTAAGGCACAAAAGGTGTAGAAGTGTTTGACAACTAAAGCTGAGAGCTACTGATTGACTCCAAACTTGCTTTTCCTGTGCATTACTTGATTCATATAAAAAAAAACAATCTTCATATTTTCATAAGCCTTGGTTATTATTATCACGGTTGTAAAGTCTTGTGCACCAAGAACATTTTGGTTACTCCATAAGCATTAAAGGCATCCCAGTATCAGCGATCAGCTCGGCTTAAAGTTATTTCAAACTTGACAAGTTGGATCTATCGCCCGAAATACCTTCAGAAATGCTTTAGGACACATAAACCCCACCCCAACCGGAAAATACATCAAAATTCAGAGAAATGGAGGCCCAGGGCGAGAATGAATCATCGGGCCAAGCGGCCAAACCAAATGACGAAACGGTAGGCAAGTGCTGTTTTATGATAACCGTGGGAAGTGATGGACTCATCGAGATCAGCTCACTTAATCATGAAGGCAAGAAGCCCCAAAGCGCAAAAGACAGTAGTAACTCGCCACTGACGAATGCGTCCACGGCGGCCAAGGAACAGTGCATAGCTGTGCTAAAAGGGGATTCAAATGACATCGATGATGATTCAACTAAAAGCCTGGAGAAGAGCCAGAATGCAAAGTCCATAGAGGAGATCCAGAAAACCGGAACTTTGCCGCCTTTCGTGAAGATCTGCAACAAAGATCTGGCAAATAGGCCTTCCTTCGTGGTGCTCGAGGATGCCTCGGCTAGGAGCAGGATTAAACAGGACATGGAACAGTCGAAAGAAGAGCACTCTGTAAAGTGCCAGGCTCAGCAGACCTCGGTGTCCTACTCCATTTCGAGCACAGGATCTCAGACTGATAAAGCTTTTCCGCAATATCCCACCAGCAACAACGGCACCCAGAAAGGTAATATATCACTACTCCTGTTATGGAATTCCTTGAAATTCCTGACCATATACGTGGCTGTGTTTTTATGTTCTTATTTCTTTGTGTTCCTAGGCTGTACTGTACCACCCGCTCGGATTTCATCCCTGCAAGCTGCAGCCCAGGTCCGCCAAAAACTATCAAGTTTGAGTCGCGAGCAAACGCATCCGCATCCGCAGCCACAACACCACTTGTCCTTGCTGCAGCATCAGAAACTGCAGCAGCACGTGTTGCAGCAGCAGCAGCAGCAGCCGCATCAGCACATGCAGCAACATTTGGCACTGCACCAACAGTCGAACCTGCAGGTTCAACAGACCAGCAACTCCCCATATGTGACCATCAGTTTTCTGCCCATGAGCCAGACGGGTGCAACATCGGTGTATCCTGGCCAGCAGTTCCTGTGTGCCACGCCGAGCAACATGTCCGGCTGCTCCTGCTGCACGTGCAGCAGTTGCTGTCCGTCAAGGACAACCCAAGTCTGTCCAATGCAGATGGGCAATCAGTACCAAAGTCCAGCCCACGGAAGCAACTGCTGCATGCTGAGGCCAGAGAGCTTCGCAAAGGGCTGCTGCAATGGTGCCACATCCTGCTGTCCCTTGTCGAGTAGGGAATCGCATCCTGCTATGGGATTCGGTGGTCAGATCAGTCAGCACACGGTGCACCCGGTTCTCGGAACCACTTGTGCGCTGCAGCAACAGCAGCCAAGTATTCCGATTTCGGGAGGATTCTATCCCTGTTGCTCCTGCCAGTCCCTGTGCAACCAGTGCTCCCAATGCAGGATGCACGCGCATCCCTGTTGCCACTGCCTGGGATTCTTCAACAACCAACAGGTGTTCCAGTCGCAGCAGCAGCAGCAGCAGCAACAAGCCCAAAGCGCCTGCTGCCCCTTGAAACCAAGCCAGCGACGCAACTACCCATCCAAGGAAAAGGCCCAGAGGCCCAGCGAAAGATCTCCCAATCAGGACGGAATAAAGCATACATTCTACAAGAAGTCCCAGGCTCAGGAGAAGCCCCTGGATGCCCAACACATTGAAGCCACCAGCAAGAGGACGCCAATGCCCAGATCCGTTGGCGGTGCAGCATCTGTGAGTACCAGTCCCGGCCCAACCTCCCTGTATGTGGCTCGGTTTGGCAGGACTTGCTTGATCCTGAGACCCACCAGCAACGCCCTCATGCCACGCCTCTTGACCAGGCGCATCAGTCGCTACACCTCCGTGATAGCCTGGCCAGCAAAAAGTGTGAAGCCTAAATAGACATTGGACCATAGGCACAAACTAGGCAACATAATCAAAGCATTGACACGTAAATTTTGAATATAATTAAAAATAGCACAGTATTTTGAGTCTGCAATATCTCATATATCTATATTTATAGTTCCGACTTCGTTTCACTACTTAAAATGTACTTGGCTAGAGTCAGATCGTAGCTCGAGTCAATTTCCAAGCTGTCTTTGGCAGCGATTTCCACAATGGAGCACCTACTATTTTGCAGTAACCCACTGTCCACCAGCTTCCTCCTCGAGAAGTAAAACATTCCTGTTTCCACAATATCGCCCTGCCAATCCTGGCGTCTTGGCCTGGCACTTAAGTTAAATTCCGCTGGCATCAATTCCCCATCGACTACTTTCCAACGCAAGTAATGTGATCTGAAATATGTATGTTCGTATCTGAATGCTAAAAACCCACATTTTGCACAAGGAACTGTGTACCTCTTGGCGGCAAAAACGCAGTCATGTGACTCGAATTTCCGAACTGCCTCTTGAATGTACTTGGTTTTCAGGAACACGGAGGTGCATTGAAACAGGGCGAAGTCTTGAATACTCCTATGAACATCCAGAAACTCTGAAATGGCGTGGAGTGAGGGGGTATCGTCTCTGGCGAATTTCTCAGGACGACGATGTACTGTGGCTCCATCTGAAGTGTTTAAAAAGCTGGAGGCTAGCTTCTCAACAATGTATCAATGTAGTTAATACCCACACTTTTGCGCTTCGATGGCGATTCTCTTGTCGTCTGTGGAAACCCAGATATGTTGAAAGCAAGTCGAATTTTTGATGGTCATAATTGTGCGGGCCAAAAGAGATGAGCCACCAGCTTCAGCCAGGTTTTTCAACTTGATGCCTTTGCTCCCGCCCCTTGCCAAAATTAATGCGTGAATATCATTACTCAGGCTGAAAGAAAAGCATTTAACCAAGGTCCTAACGAATCTACATTTCACTCACCAGTCGTCCGTGCAGCCAGTATCAAAAAGAAAAACTAGGCAAATAAGAAAAGTCGCCGCTCTCAGTTTTATCATTGCGCTGTGCTTCTGTTCAGGTCGAAATAAAAATAAAAAGAAAAATCGTGGCTCCCATATGGGATCTTTTTGTAAGGGTGAGCCAGTGCGTATTAACTATATGAAATGTAAAATATTATAAAAAACAGGAATATTTATAATGTGTTTCATGGCCTCATCTCACCTTTTTCTATTTTCAGTTCTTTTGTGCCTTGTTTTACATGTTTAATTCAGAGCATTAGCACTTAGTTTGCGACTAGTCCACTCTAAAATGTACTTTCTCTAATTCAAGCACACACAATAGCCCAATTTACCCTATTATGTGTTATTAGGGCTTGTATTTGTGATTTATGCAAATACACACGTTACGGGGACTTTGGACTGCTCTGCTTTTCGTTCATGGAGGTCAGTTTATACTTTATACTTTTATCTGCTGAGATCGAATATTTAACAGTTTTTGACTCGGACGGTTTCAAGGAATAGCCAATAATTTTCTTCGAAGATGTGACAGCCTAGGAATTGCTGATGAAATGGTACGAGTATATGAAGTAAAGTTTAATTGCTGATTTTAGGTAGACTTTAACAATACCAAAGTCGCATGTTTTAAAGAACTAATAAAACAACGTTGTCTATAAGGTTTATTTATTGCACAGTTTTTATTTTAAGCTTTACAATATAAATAAGTTTTTTAATTTATTCACTTTGCTAAAAATGAAGTAAATAACCTTAAAAATACCATGTGTTGAGAGGTAAGTTGTGTTAATATATATAAATAGGCATATATAACAATATATTAACAGAAATTACGCATGTAAGAAAATATACAATATTCGTTTTCTTGAAAGCTGTCAACGAGCGTAATCGAGCCCACTTTATAAGGCAGATACAGAGTTTTGAGATGCGCAGATATGCAAACGCTTACTGACTGACTATACGTACGAGTATGGATCTTTTGAAACTGGTTCCCCTTTATATAACTACGAGTGCTCATCTCAGCGACGGTTCTATGGGTACATTTAGGCGCGCTTACTAAAGGACACTGGCATACCTTTGGTTAATGTATGCCTTGGTGTGGTAATTATAAGTTCTTATCGAGGCCGCCAGTGTCTGAATTAGTTGTTTGTCCCTCTTTGCTGGTGCATAGGAGTCAATGTCACCGACACTGAAGATACGAGTAAGTAAAAAGTAAATAGTAAGTAAAAGTTAAAAACTAGTTACAAAAAACCCATTTGGTAGCTACTCCACCTGATATTTCGTGTGCGCAGGACACGCTCCGCCCACGTCTGGGGTCTTGGTATTTCCCGAGCCACTCCAGTTTGTTTTTTGTCGATATAGTCAATTACATCATCGTAATAGTTGGTTCTGTAGTTGTACATATATTTGTATTGCAGAAATTTCGGCCTGAAAAAGTGCGGATTGCATAAGATGCAGTACAGTGACAGTTGGACAGCACAATCCAGCAGGATTGTAGTACCAACCTGACCCAGTGGCGGTAGAGCTGCACCGGTTTCCTATATCCATCATCTTCTGGCGGAGGCGGCGGTGCTTTTATTTCTTCTACCTCTTCCGGAGCAACCTCCTCGTTGGCCGGAGTGCCAGCCACGACGCTATCAGCCTTGTGATCGGATGCCACACTCGGTGCTTTTGAGGGCGGAGCCGGAGTGCCCGACTGAGTGGATGCCGCCTTCTCCGCCTTCTCCTCCTCGCCGCCGTCGTCGAAACCCCATGGATCTTCTTCGTCTGCCATATTACTGAAACGGAAATCGTTCAATATCAATATATCATTCATATACACGGTCCCTCAAGGAAAGCACTTTCAATATTCGATATCTAGGGACATTTAGTCAGATACAACCCATCTTTATCGCAATGGAATTTTTTTAATTATTTCCAAAATGTTCTTATTTGTAAGAATGTTGTAATTATTTCTTCTTTTGTTCATTGAACGTTGCATAACATTGCAACACAACCTAAATTGTTCTTAGATAAAGCCGTTTTCCGTAGGTGATTAGAAATGTTTGGAATTCAGGGCGCCCAAATAGCTGGCGTTCTTAGACGTTTCGAATTCAGGACGATTTAAATGGTTCAATGCATTATAGTCTATATATAACACGTTACATCATTCGTCGTTTGAATTGTAGATTTATAGATTTATCTTTTAAGAGGGGTCAACCACTTAAATCACTGATATATTTCCAAAGGACTCTCTATCATAGACTTATCATAAGCGGGCAAGGGATTCACGTTGATTTTCTCCCACCTAGAACTAGGATATTGGGTCCACTAGAAAATCAAGCGACCATACCTTTACTATAGTGTTTATACTGATATAAAAGAAAAAAGACTAAATGATCGAACTGCTGCTCGAAACAAATGCACTTAGAAAACTTAATCTAAATATATCGAGAAGCAGAATCTATATACAAAGGTTGGCATGTGTACTCACATACTAAATTTAATTGGCCGAAACGCTATTAACACCTATGTACTAAATAGTTTCACATTTCAACCAGAAGTTCCGGATCAATGGAGATTTTAGTAAGCAGATTCAAATTCTATTAAAGTTGGACTTGATCTACTTCAATTGGGTATTACTTTAGTATAGTTATAAGAGTCGTCTTTATATTCCAGAAATTTCCAAATGGTCCCAAGCATAATAATCTTATTTGATAAATACATACATAAAAAATCCACAAAACCATTATAAAGTTTAAGATTTTACTTAATCAAAAACCAGTACTTTGTAATTTTGTTATTTTAACAAGACATTTAACAAGAAATTAAGCTAATAGTTTCGTTCATATATTTATTCGTCATAAAAGCAATACGAATTTGAATGACGTAAAACCGTTACAAAATGATAGGAACGACGGAAGTGGAACATTTATTCCTATTATTCCCAATATTATATTCCTATTAAAATATATGTTTATAATTAAAGTTAAAGAGATGAGATTTTCTTGTTTCACAAAATATTTTGGGTAACCGGTGTGAAAACGGCCCCCCTAACATATCGATACATCAGGAGCAAAAACCAGTAGGATACATCGATAAGCCTGTAATATACATCGCCTACATATAAGCCACCCCTAAATTTGTTGTATTGATTGTGTTTTGGTCGAATAAGTTTATTGCATTTGCGAAAAGTGGTTTTGTTTAGCACAGCGGGTAGCAGAAATGTGCCTAAAATCAATGTGTCATTTTTGTTCAGGTAATAATCGCACCCACCTCCCACGAGGCAATCAAAAGCCGAGAGACTCGAGCTATATACACACTAGCCCATTTTGCGTGCATATACTGCATATGCGTACATATGTACATACGCACCTGCGTACATATGTATGTAAATATCAAATCAAAAATAACAATTTGGGGCGAATTTGCGTGGAAAATAAAAGGCGAGCAAGTAGCAAGTAAATCGTTCTCCTAGGATATATTTTGAGGCCAAGTGGACCATGTGACAAAGGCATGCACACACGCATGCACATATGGACAAACAACAAACTACTTTATTTAAATCGAGAGCCCCAGCAGTTCGAGCCGGTTATATTAATGCATTTCAATTTGAATTCGCATTCGCATTGGAATTCTCGCTCCAAAAACAGTGTCAATTTATGTAAGCATCGGGTGTATCGAGAACCAGAGCCCCACTGGGAGTTAAACGTGTGTAGCAAGTTGGACCACCCAGCCATCGCGAAAGAAGCCCCCGCCTAAACCGCATACACTTGGATTACGATGTGGAATATGGGTGTGCAAGCCCCAGCTTTTCCCCGCTGTTCCCTGATTCCCCCTCCGCAGCCTACTGGAGCCTAACCCGATTTGGTGTGAATATTATATGCAAAATAAAAAGGCCATAACACCAAACTCTGGGGAGGAGGGGCAGGAAAAAAACTGGAGGCGCGGGCCGTGTTTTCCCCACGTGACACGCAGGCGTATGCGTGTGCCAAAAATTCAATTTATTCAGCGTATATTCATCGCGAAAGACGATTTCAAATTGCACTGGCTTCTTACTCGCATTCGCATTTCTGGCCCAAAGTATACCAACCATCTAGTGAAACAAGCGCTGATTGTAACCCTCAGAGCTATAACAGCCTAGTTGCCAACATCACTTTCAAAATACGCGCTCAAAATGGGCTTTGTGGGCTCCTTCAGGGAGAGAACTAATTGCTGTAAGATTGGCCATGACCTTAGCCTTTTCAACACTCTACACGCTTACCGATTGGCAAAGCTTTAAGTTAAATTGCTTCGAAGCTGCTATTGTGAAAATATAAAAAAAAGGGTTCAAAAAACGCTGTGGGTTCCAAATCGCATCGTTGTTTCACTTGGAGTTTCTTTCGCATCCTTTAATTAGGTTTTGTTGAAAGATTCACCAATAAGAGTTAATTTGAATCGTAAATAATATACTCGACGAAGGATATTTGTAGTATTACATATAAATTATTATTTTCCATTAAAATATTTTGTTGCTCGAAACAACATAATATAAGTACAATCAGAAGGTCCATTTGTAGTAATCACCCCTTTCCATATTTTCAGCATATTAGCCTTTTCAAGAGGTAAATAATGCTTTGACCTGGTCGACGGAAATTAAACTCATGTAAGTAAAGGAGTCAACTAAAAACTAAAATAAATGCCTACCAATAATATTTGTGCCTAGCTTAATTATAGCCTAAAATGCATGACTAACCCAATACTTAAGCAGCCAATTAAACAAATATGATTTGTAATAAATATCTTCCAAATGTGTGTGTAAACCTTTAAAACAATCAATCATACTAATTGATCATGTTTAATACCTATTCGGATTTTGTAAAACGAAGAATATAATATACCCTTGCAGATGATTTTATTTTTATTTGATAAAAACGACTAACTCCACTTATTGATGGAGCATATACACACGGTACGAGTATTTACTCACTACTTTTTGGTGCAAAATATAAATCCCTATTTAAACAAACGGAACAAAGTCTATTTTCATTTATCGTCGCTCTAATTCGAAGTAATTGTTTCGTGGTTGTGCGAAACTAAAACATTGCTCATCGTTTGCACTTTCCATTGATCTCTGCTATCTCCAGAATGGCATTTCGCTTTTTCTGATGTGATCGCAGTTTGTGGGACGGTTCGTTTTGGCGGTGAGGTAACCGCTCTTCGTGGGAATTGACTGATACAACCTTATAATTTGCAGCTCTGCATCGCTTTTTGTACGTTTTCTAAACAATAATACTCAATAACACTAAAGGGTGACTTAAAAATGTTACATTTTGCCTGAAATCTTTTAGAGTCTTGTATACTTATCAAAATAATGTAAATTTTGAGCGGACAGCAATAAGCTATTTTGCATTAAACTGAGAAAGCTTTTACGCTGAGATATAACCTTTGGGCAAACTTTTGTGACGCTCATTAATTTATGTTTCTTACCCAAATTATTTTACCTTTTAGCATATAGCACTTTCAAATATAAATAGCGTGATTGTAGGTGAACGTGGCAACCCTGCTCCCCTTTTAAAAAAGTCCTACCGTGTACAGAAAATATGGTTAACCAATAATCGTCATGTATAGAGACAATTTCCGCGCATGCGCCTCAACCATTTGATTAGTCCTTCGGTACACACCAGGTTTGAAATATACAAGTTAATAGTCAAGTACATTTTTGCTTATTATTATCAAGAAAAATTTATAAATGAGTCGCTCGTTCAATCATCACTTGTTCGTGCCACAATTCATACATATCGTTAACGTAATGCTATACAAGCACAATTATTGATTTGGAGTTTTTCTGTCCAGAAATAAACATTAAGTCAAATGTACAGACCAGGCAAAGCAATTTAAACAAAGAAAAACACTAAATAGAAACCAATTAGCTCCTAAAAAGTTATAAACAGTGAAAACATGGGGTGCTTAAGTAGTAAAGACCGTTTAACCAAAGAAGACATGGAGTTCTTAAAAACGCATACGAGATATGACGAAGCCACAATTAAAGAGTGGTATAAGGGATTTAAGGTGAGTACAAATATTACCACACCAACGGAAAAGTCTCAAACTATGTACGTTCGTCCCTTTTCTATATAGCAAGATTGCCCCAACGGCCGATTGACGCCTGCTAAGTTTGTCGATATGTATAAAATGTTCTTTCCATCCGGAAATGCGGAAGAGTTTTGTGACCATGTTTTTCGTACATTCGATATGGACAAAAATGGATATATTGACTTTAAGGTAATTCTCTTTGATTACAAATTCTCTCTTGATATTACATTTTGTTCATTTGGACATGGCAAACTGCGGTCAACCGTTGTGTTTAAAGAACGAAAACGCAAGCTATTATTTAATTTAATTTAATGTTAGTATTCCAAAGTTGACTTGAGGAGATACCGTAGGTCCTTTATGCTAAGCAGACTGTTGATTCTACAGTCTGTCATATTTTCTAAAAAACGATATGTACATATTTGGGTGTCCCCATTCGTCGATTGGGATGATCGCATGTATAACGTCTATGTGATGGGAATGCAGATTGTGTTATTATTGTATAGCTATGCCAATTGTGGGCCCCTTCGCGCATGGTACTTTAAATACTAAATAAACTAAAATTATTGATGTATCCATCTATTGTGACGACAATTCCCTGTAGGCATCTTTGCTGATTTGCATACTTGTATTTTACAATAACCCCATTGTTTTTCCAGGAATTTTTACTCGCAATAGATGTTACTTCAAGCGGAACACCAGAGGAAAAGCTTAAGTGGGCCTTTCGAATGTACGATGTCGATGGCAATGGTGTTATAGACATACAAGAAATGACCAAAATTGTTCAGGTAGGAACTGAGAAGTGTCACTAGTGGGCTCTTAACGAGCGCTTGATTTAATAATGCAATTATTGCTCTGATGAATTGGAGGCAATATTATTAATGTATTTTGGTTCTCTCAGGCAATTTATGACATGCTAGGAGCGTGCTCATCTAATCGTCCAGCTGATTCAGCAGAAGAAAGAGCAAAAAATATTTTTGCAAAAATGGACGAAAATAACGATGGTCAATTAACCCAAGATGAGTTCTTGAAAGGATGCTTGCAAGATGAGGAGTTGTCAAAAATGTTGGCACCATAAACAATTATATCCTACAATATGTGTGTATTTGATGAAATCAGTAATGAAATGTATAAATACTTAATTTATATTTCTTATACTAAAATTAAACTACTATAAAACTATGCAATCATTAAACTATTTTCAGTGTGTCACTCAAATTAATACATTAAAATTTTTCACCAGATCGAAAAAGCGTAATCGTTTGAAAAGTTTAATTTTCGTACTTGCATTATCCACTCATTTAAAGCTGTCTCTTTTTAGCTTGGTCCCGACGGCCTACCAAAATATTTAATATATTTGTTTTAGAAACTAGCTGCAACCGATGATTGGACGCTATACGAAACGGCGAGAAAATAGAAAAATTTACTGGATACATGTTCTACATTCAGTAAAGCATTTTATGGGAAATCGGAAATAATGTTGTGTATTATTGTCTACTCTTATATTAGTCTAAAACCAAGGCGAATAGATTTAACCCGTTGATAAACGTCAATATAGAACTTAGCCCTAGAGAAAATATTTTCATACTAGAAGGCCGATAAATTCTATTCTTCGGGGATTTAACTTTATTTTGCTTATTTAAGAAAATATAAAAGTCTAGTATTTAGATAATTCAAAAAATCTTAGCTGGGAATATATCATCACATCACTGGTATTGCTTGATTGTAAAGTTGCGTGCTTTTGACCATTTGGCTGGCATGTCCAAGTATTGATTACATATAGAGAATAGTATCAAAACGTCTATATTTTAAAATAGATGTTCAAAGTATTTTAGTCATAAAGGTTTACACTGCAAGATGGTCTTACAACAATATCCATTGGCATTTGCTTAATTTGGCTGTACATTATAAATCTGTCTGCAAGGGTATTTAATCTTCGGTACCCGATGAATACTTTTCCCCAAACGTCCAATATATAGATGCTAATTTGATATATTGTATTGCTTTTCAAGATAACTGTATAATGAAATTGTTCTGCAACAATGGGAAAGCAAAATAGTAAACTAAAGCCAGAAGTTTTGGAGGATCTCAAGCAAAACACAGAGTTCACAGGTAAGAAAACATGAACATAATGGTTTGTTGTTCAGTTTAAACAACTTTTATTTTTCAGACGCTGAGATTCAAGAATGGTATAAAGGCTTCCTTAAGGACTGCCCTAGTGGGCATTTATCAGTAGAAGAGTTTAAGAAGATTTATGGGAACTTTTTCCCATATGGTGACGCCAGCAAGGTAAAAGCCTTGTCCACGACTATGTTTTTGAATTTCATTTTAAATTTAAATTGAATTTCAGTTTGCAGAGCATGTCTTTCGGACATTCGACGCTAACGGCGATGGCACTATAGACTTTAGAGAGTTTTTGTGTGCACTTAGTGTCACATCTCGGGGCAAACTCGAGCAGAAACTCAAATGGGCATTCTCGATGTATGATCTTGATGGAAACGGATACATATCGCGGCAGGAAATGCTAGAAATTGTTACAGTACGTTTCTGCTCACCTACAAAATTGAAAATATAATCACTTACCCATTCTTTATTTAGGCAATATATAAAATGGTCGGCTCGGTGATGAAAATGCCGGAGGACGAGAGTACTCCTGAGAAACGAACCGACAAGATTTTTCGTCAAATGGATCGAAACAAAGATGGGAAATTAAGCTTGGAAGAGTTCATAGAAGGAGCCAAAAGTGATCCATCAATAGTACGATTATTACAGTGTGATCCACAGTCTCATTAACTTAATTACTATTGAAAAGCAAGCAATAATCATTTAAACGTGTATAGAGTAATTGCGAATTAAATTGTTTTGTTTCAGTATGGCCATTATGTATATTTCTTTCTAATAATAAACAATTCTTATAATATTAAATTATATTATTAAACAATATCTATTATGACCGTTCCAAAACACCCATGTTGAGGTTTTAAAATTTTCATAATAAAATGATCATAAACAAAGCGTTTGTTAGACAGTGTATGGGAAACCACATGGAGTAAGTATTAAAATCATGAATTTCCTATCAACATGTACATGTAGCTTTCCTTTTTTATCCCATAAACTACCATAAATTATGTCATTTATTTAATTATACAAAGCTCTGAGAGGAGTTAGGAAACATGAAACATACTTCCCAATAAAGAGGGAAACATAAGGCAATAAAATTTTATTTCAGCATTACAACCAGTTCTATATATCTAATATTCCGCATTTTGATTAGATTGTCCTATCTGTTTTCTCCGAAATGTTCTCTAAAGGAGTTAATCTATTTTAGTGCCTCTATCACATATTTATTAGGGTGCTTTATCATATCTAAAATACATGCTAAGCGCTTGATTGAGTCCCAACCTTGCAATTAATAAAGAAAAACGCCATTGCTAACAGAGGGATAAAATAAATTCACTTTATTATTCATTTTGGTAACATACGGTATGAAATGCATGCAATTGCAATTTTCAGAGCACAATCATTACTGGTTTTCTGTATCGTTTTTTCTTAAATAGCTTGAAGAACTTTGCGGAAGCGGTCTAGGACGATGTTAGCGTGATATTCCTTAAATATCAAAGCTGGGCGGAATCTAATGGAAATTTCTCCACAGCCTCCGGTCTGAATGCCGTGCAACTTCAGTGCGCCGATTATTTGATCTCGCACCTTGGTGTTGGTGCAATTAACCGCCAAAAATGTTCCACGACCACGGGTGGAGTTCAAGATATGCGGGAATTCCTTCTCCAGACTCAACAGACCGTTCTTTAGAACCTTGCCTGCCACATCGACATTGGCCAGGAGCTTCTCCTCCTGAATCACCTTCACGACTTCCTCGAGGAGCAGGACCTTACCCGGATCGCCCATCCAGGTGTTGAAGATCCTGTACGGCTCATTCGGAATGAAGTCGTCGTTGTGGAAGTAGCCACCCAACTGCAGCTTCTTGCTGAAGGTCACCACATCGGGCGGACTCTCCAACTCGAAGTGCTCGTGGGCCCAGAATTTTCCAGTGCTACCTCCTCCGGTTTGGACCTCATCGATCAACAGGGCGATGCCATTCTTCTTGCAGATAGCCTGGAGGCTCCTGAAGAACTCGGGCGATGCCTCGTTGTCGCCTCCTTCACTTTGAATCGGTTCAACCACAATTCCGGCGACCGGACTCTTGCTAGCGTACTGCTGAATAAGATCCTGCACTTCGCTAAGGCACTTTTCATCCTCCTTCTTGTTGTGCGCCACGTTTTCGTCTAAGGGATATCGGTACTCGGGAAACGAGGCGATGGGCCAGTCAAAGGATGGAACGTCCAGCTTATGGATGTACTTGGAATGTGTGGTGGAGAGGGCTCCCAATGTTCGCCCATGGAAAGCCCCCTTGAACGAGAGAATGCTGAGATTTGGAGCTCCTGGGGGAATATTAATCATGCAGGAATTCTTCTCCTGCTCGGTAAGAGGTGTATTGCCACGAAGTTTGTTCTGGTACCTATAGGCGAAAAATCACCATTGTACTACATTCTAAAATTAGGTCTCCCAGTAGCTAGATACACTCACCATATGAAGATGCTCTTATATGCATTTTCGTTTGAACACGAACCACACATCATCGTTGTGATTTTATTGAGTCCTTTCGGAGCAATGTTCAGCAGAACTGAGTGTAGTTTTTCTGGCCACTCCTTGCCAGGGAAGACGCCAAGTGCAGGTCTGTTAATCAAAGCTGGGAATAGTAATAGTCAAAGATATATATGGGAGATGGGAGTGGCTATAAAGCTTAGATATTGACTTAGGTTTTTATACTGTATGACATGATATCCCGACCAGGTCGCCCTCTCTTACTTTTCAGGTTTTGCTCATTGTTGAAGACCTTGTAAAGCCTCGGATGGTTGTAACCCAGCGGAACTGAGGAAATCTGAGTGTAGACATCGAGTAGAATATTCCCGTCCACGTCGTAGATGTAATTTCCAATGGACTTTTCGTAGTCAGCAAAGAATTGGATGGTTCCGGTGGCCTATAAAAAAGCCATTCGTACTGATTAATAATGAATAGCTGAAAAATAAGACCCTAGAGAGTTATCTCTGAGTGGGCATGTGGTCTGACGTGAAACGAAATGTGTAGTAAATATATAAAAATGCGCTTGTTATGAAAGTTATGCCCCCACACCCAGATAAGGGTAAAGAAACTCACCTGAACAGAATCCAGTTGTTTTTTAAGCTCAATTGATTTGGGGCCAGGTATTGATTTAGTTTTCACCACAGGTTCCTTGGGCTCAATGCTGGTGGAGTACCTCTTGGTACTCAACCTATATAGACCTACATATAACGATACCCTTTCAGTCTCAGATTCGCTGAAACCTTAAATTTTTCTTTTGCTTACCCTGCTTGGTCAACGTATTCAGCCACAAGCTCCGCATGGTTACCGTCGATTTGAGTGCCCGGGGTTAAGTGAAGGAATTGTTCAATAGGAGGTCTCGTTGCTGGCCACTAATACTTAGTTAAAAAAGAAATGTATATTTACAGAATACAAACATAAAGGCTTTTATGTATGCGGGCATATACACCTATCCATAGCCTTAGACACAAACACACTCTCTCAGGTCGATATTTATCAATTTAACTTTTCGAATCATCATGGTTCTGCGTCCGTTACATATTCTCTAGGAATAAGTAACCAAAATTAAAGAAACCTTTCCAAACAATATTTTGGTCAGCGAAGCTCCATTGCCTCTATTGATATGATACATTTTAGTATCAGCATCAGAGATTTTTTTTTATTATTTTTCCGCATTGGGAATGCATATTTTATTTTTCAAAACAAAATTCAAAGTGTATATTGATTTTAACGGCCAACCGTCATTGACCACATTCTCAACATATATCGCACCAAAATAAAAATGCACTCTGCTTATAGTTACCAGTAAAATTAAAGTTTGGTTTGATCAAAATGAAACTTAAACTTAACAGATTTTAAGCGAACCTTAAATGCAAATTAAATTGTTTTAGGTAATGAAAGAAGTATGACTTAGATAATTTTTTGCGTAGTAATATCTGATCCCACTGTATATATGAATAAACAAAAAATTATACATTTAAGTTTATCATTAATTTTAAAAATAATATCCTTCAGCAATTTTTAAAAAACAGTGTTTCAGTTCCACCATTTCAAATTCGTACAAAACAACTGAAAAACATGAAACACCAGGAGTTGGCGATATCGATTTTATTTTTATGTAAATTGATGGCACATGCGGAATGTAAAATAAAATAAAGTTAAAACAGAGGATTTTCGTAATAATATGATTGAAATGAACAAAACCGCAATCGGCATTGCAGCGGGAGTGGCTGGAACTCTGTTTATTGGATACTGCATCTACTTCGACAAGAAGCGCCGCAGTGATCCCGAGTACAAGAAGAAAGTCCGTGAGCGTAAGAATACCAAAGGCCCCCAAGTGAATTATGAAAGAAACTGAGCATTTCATCACTTTGTAGGTCGCCGTCGCAACAAGAAAATCGGCACTGCCAAGTCTGGAGTTCCCAACCTGAACGACCATGAAGCCATCGAAAGGTAGGACTCTCCACTGGGACTCGCATTATATAATGCGGCACGTGTAGTGGTGCCGATTCAATACACCTCCATTCATACAAACAAGCCCACATATGTTTTTCCAGCCAAGTCGATGTATGTGTATGATGTATGTACACTTGCACGACACGATGTATTAAGTACACTTGCATGTTCATTGTATATAGACCCTTTAAAGTTCTTATTGCTTATAGCATCCAACAACGCCATTGCTTTGTTTTACGAAGCACACTTCAGTGTCAGATTCGGCAGGTTGCATGCTAAAAAATTCAATTTCAGCATATACAATATTAGGGTTTAAAAATAGGAAAAATACGTCTTGAGAGCCTAACGATTAGTTCCTTTTCATTTTACTTTCTTAAACAGGCTCAAACACACCTTGTATGTCCACAATTAGTTATTATTCTTGGCCAGGATTTCATAGATTCCTAAACTATTTCATAAAAAACTTAGCTCTGCAGTAAGATATGTGACTTAGTTGGTTTACTTGACATTATGTAAAGCGAATCAAGCAAAGACTAGGTTTTTATCCCCGTGGCCCTGTTGGCATTCATTACCTTTATAAAATTAAAGAAAATTCTATGCATCCAATCAGCTGTTCCCAAATAAATAAACCGTGATATTATATTTTCAGATATTTCCTACAAGAAATCCAGCTGGGCGAGACCTTGATCGCCCGCGGAGACTTCGAAAGTGGCGTGGAGCACTTGGCGAATGCCATCGTCGTGTGTGGCCAGCCGGCTCGTCTGCTGCAGGTGCTGCAATCCTCCCTTCCAGCTCAAGTATTCGCGATGCTGATCGTCAAGATGCAGGAGTTCGGCAATCGGGCGGCGGAGGGTAACGATGGGCCAATCGTTTTGGGGCAGAGCTCGGAGCAACAGCTGGACGGAGCCAAAATTATAGAGTGTTCATCTGGAAACGCAAGTATCGACGACCTCGAATAGTACTTGGAGATGGCTACAGAAATTGAGATATAAATTTCAACAGTAGAAATTAAGGGCTTCACATATAAACATTATATTTTTTTTATATATTGATTTCTCTGGATGTTCCCAATACATAAAAATAAATATGCGTAAACTGTTAACACTTAACAATTGTGCTTTTGTGTGGTATTAACGGTAAACGAATATCGAAGATCAACTCTGCAGACCTAAATGTTGTCAAATATTTTCATATAACCGGGTATGTTAAAGTGTGAGCAAGTTAATCAACAATAAAAGATTTTGAAAAATGTTGTATATTCTGGGAATAAATATATCTCTTAGGCGGCTTGATGCAAAGGTATTCAAAAATGTATTTAAAATAACTATAGGTTGAAAATCCTAAAGCTACTCGGCAAAGATGATGCCCCTTAATTCAATAGGGAATACCCCCCATATTATTTTATTGCCGCACTGTGTAAGTCTGTCAGTCCATAGCTGGTCACATTGAAAGCTAGAGTTGTGCACGAGTAATCACTTTTTGTTTATATTTTGCGTACTCTGTTAGATGCACTTGCTTTTCACTTATTACTTTATTGCATCTTTCTTATCCTATCTTAGAAACGAAAAAACTTAAGGTTGATAAAGTGAACGCCATGAAACCGGAACACCAAAACAACTTTTCGCAAAAGTCGCAAACCACTTCGGACTCCAACAATGACAACAATTCGGTGAGCAATAATAATTAGGCAAGAGGTGACGTTATAGTTGAGTTTCTGGACTACCAGATACTCCTTACCTACCTAGAGACATGCAAGGGCGAAATTTTAATCGGCATATTCTGAACTATTAGAGAATATGCTCATAGTTTTCTGTGCGCGGCGCCAAGATACCTTAATGATTGTAAACAACAAAAGCTCTATTACGCCTTTGGAACAAGTCTCTCAATATTTAATGTTATTTTTAAGTTAAGTTATTTTGAGCCGTAGAGGCTCGGAGTTTGTACGAGTATGTGCAAAGACATTATAAAAATGTTTCTTATAATAATTCTAATGTCTTTGGTATGAGTGAGTGGGTTCCCGGGGACTCCCGATTTTAATGAACGAGATAGCCAAAACAATTGAACAAGCATTTGATTGAAAGTGTGTGTAAGGTGCGCATTGTATTTTTATAATAAATAGTTTGTGTGTGTCTAATTGTTCTGAGTTCTCAGCGAACTCTTTTACTCTACAAGTAACGAGAGGAATAAATAGCATGTGGACTAATATTTTATTTCGACTTGTTATTTCAGAGCAGCAGTGATTCGGAAATGGAATTTGTGGGGACCAGCGCACAGGGAAAGCTGAAAAGCAAGAGAAAAGATGAAAGACAAATATCTGAACTAAAACGTAAGTTGGCTGTGGCTGAAATAAATCTGAGGGCTCAAAAGGAACAAGGCATTTTGCTTGAAAATTCCGTCAAGGATAAGGATGATTTTATTAAAAACCTGCAATTGTCGATTGACTTAGTAACGGAAAAAAAAGATATGGCCATACAGAAATTACAAATTCATATTATTGACTTGCAAAGTGCTCTCGACTTGAGTAGAATTGCAATTAAGGACAACGATAGAGGAGAATGTGTACCAGCGAGATCCAATGATAAATTTATAAATACAAATAAGGAGTTAAATACGAATAATGCTAAATTAAAAGAGAAGAATGATCAGATTGTTGAATTGGATGCCAAAACACGGAATTATGAAGAAATTCTAAAGGAAAAGGAGACGGAAATCGCCAGATTAGAATTTAAAGTTGACGAGTCGAAGCTCCAAATTGTGAAATTGGAAGGTAAAATACAGGAGAAGGACGAAAAGCTTGTGAAAATGAGGGAAATATTGTCTGAGTATACCGGCAATACCAACGACACCGATGAATTCGTATGCCTTAGCTCTTCCAAGATACCTTCAATTAAATTAGTAACACCACCTGATTGCGAACCCTTTGCCGCAGTTTTCGAGGATATTCCTTCTGCCGGTCGTGGTTGGATGGTGATCCAGCGTAGGATCGATGGCAGTTTTGATGACGGCATAGTTTCAAAATTAAGAACGGGCTGTGGGGATTTGAATGGCGAGTTCTGGATTGGCCTTCAAAAATTGCATAAGATGACGATAAATCAAAGATTGGAACTGTATATCGACCTTGTCGATTTTGACAATATTAGTGCTTATGCGAGATATGATAATTTTGTTATTGGGGGCTCAAATGAGGGATACAAGCTGCTTTCCCTTGGCAAATACTCAGGAAATGCTGGCGACGCTTTTCGCAATCACATAAACGAATGTGTATATGTCAGTAATCCGTTTATATCCTCCCATTGGAAGCAATCGAAATGGTGGGGTGAAGGCAACTGGTATGTATAATATTTTAGAGTGTCCAAAAATTAATTCGTTTTTCAATCATTTTTAAAATACTACTTTTCCAGCAACCTAAACGGAATATATCGACCATCCAAAGTTGTTTTGGACACATCTGATGGCATTTGGTGGGGTTCTTATAATATCGGGAAAAGATATTCCCTAAAATCTTGTAAAATGCTTATCAGAGCAGTGGTAAATCTGAAATAGAAGTTGGAAAAGAACTTCTGCTAACGGATGTACCATTTACATTTGTAAGATATTAGGGTTTGTTTCAATAAAAGAGTGCATTTAGTGCACTATGAATCCTATAAATGCTTATTCACATGTAAAATCTTGTTTCACTTGGAAATATCCCCTGATTTCTTTTTATAGCTCTATAAAAATGGCAATTATTGTATTGCAATAATAAAACTTGAGTATAGCGACTTTTTAATTTTACGGTCAAGGGAAATTTACATACATGAAAATCCCACCAGATGGCGCGGTTTGAAAAATCCTTTTATCGTAGGAATATCGTATTATGGAAAAATTACATGACCCTGTTGTAAAATGACAGTTATCATACCCGTTACTCGTAGAGTAAAAGGGTATACTAGATTCTTTAAAAAAAATGTAAATCATTGGTACTTAATAATAATACACATTTAATATATAAAGTTCTGCAGAACGCAACAAATTGCATCAAACCTTGAAATAGAACATTTTCCTAACTTCAAAAAATATTTAGCCTTAATAACCATGTAAACAGTCAGACCTTCTCCTCATTAAAGCTGGGATGTTTTTACAATAAGGGTGTGTCTGTTATCTTCAGGGGAAATATGGGTGCTCCAAGCCCAAGCAGGTTAGGATCTGCTCGAAGTTGCAGTTCGATGTTGCAACCGCAGGATATGGCCGAGCTCGAGCATCGGAGGTCCTGATGGCGATGAGGCCGGGACAGTCGCGATGAGGAAAAGTCGAATCAGTTGAATTTCTGTTCTCATTGACTGCGGTTTAAGTTGGTTTAAATCGCAGTAAACTGCGTGCGTCGTCGGTAGCTTGCAATTGAATGAAGGAAAAGTATGTTTCAATCAATAGTCGCGATGTTCAGTTAATATGACTTCGAGTTTAGGCGACGATATGCTTACGCCCATATGCGACGCCCATACGCTTTTCCAGTGATAGTGATGTTTATCTGTAAAATGCAGAAATATGTACGTATTCGAGATGTGTGTCACAACTACGTTCGAGTCGACTAGTAATCCATATTAATATTGCTTTATAAATAAGTGTAACAGTGAATTTGGGTTGCATAACCCCATGTGGTGATACGGATAATAAGAAACCAAATATATCCAACCAAAAACCAGTGGAATAAGTCACAACATACCCCTCCGAACAGGAAATTTCCGCGATGGGTTACATTTCTTAAATTGCGAAGCCATTGCAATGCGGATTATGGGAAACTAGCGTTCCATTCTTGGTGTACTGCCTATTGTATTTCTGATATTTTTGAGGGAGTCAACCTTATTTGATAACCAAATATATTGCCTGGCATAATTCCTGCTCGGGATCCATGTTTTAAAAAAAAAACTATCACTTAAACAAAGCAGTATCTAAATGTTTTATAATTACTCTAGCTGGCTGCAGTCTGAAGAATCTAATTACTTTTTATTAAATTTTATTAGATGCGATCTGCGCACGAAAATCATGGATGTTTCATTTTTTTTAATCTAAAAAACAACAATAAACCAAATAAATATGACTTCCTGCTAATTAGATAAGGGTCCACAACAAAAATAGTTTATTTGCTTAAAATTGCTCTTGACAATTAATTTTCAAGCCCCTTATTACAAACAAACCCCATATTAAACAATTATTTGTTATTATTTTAAATTGAGTAATTTTAACAAAAAGTTACAGGGCTATTAAAAAAAAGAAAAAACACTTTCAGATTGATTGGCAGAAAACTGTATAATATTTAATTAGTTAACCACTTGTTCGGGCGATCATTACAAAATTTTCAAGATGCAAATAAATGATCTAGAAGTTAGAGAGTTTTTCCCTGGTTCTTATGTTTTTGAAAATAGAAAAAGGGGCCCGCTAAAATTCGTGTCAATTCGCGCCTGGCAGTGCAATCGATCTTGAAACTATCGGCTACCCACCGATAGCCTACACAGAGGGTCATCGAATCCTCGTAGTATTCGATTCTAGCAATCGCTGTTGGCGTTTCAAGAGAGAGAGCAATAGCGGGCGGAGTTATCGGCGATCGTAGTTAATGGTGCATATGTGCATGCAGCTGCCAATTAATGTGAGTGCTTAATCCGCGTTTGGAGCTCCGGAAATCGGGGTTGAATGAAAATACAAGCCGATGAAAGTGATCGCCTCCGAAGTTAACGAGCAACCAGCGAAAACATCGATTATTAGTTAGTTCCAGTCAAGTTGTGGGATCCACTCTAAATTATAAAGGTATACACACATATATACCTTAGTGCGTTTGTATGTGGGCCAAACATTTTCCAAAACGAAGTTTCAACCGAGAATTGTGCATTTCTGTGTTTTAATCCAATAACATTCCTAGTGCTATACCTACGAAGTTTATCACGGCGATTTCGAGTAATGGTGTGCGGTATGCTTACTTACCTTATCGGAAAATTAGACCCACAGAAAAGAGACACATGTTATCTTTGCACACCGATGTACAAATTATGTGCGATGTACATATGCATCGCCTACATACCTATGTATGTAAATGCTGCACTCCTATGTAAAAACTGGAGTTAGTGGTCGTAATTGTGTGACTTTGTGGACTTTGTGGATTTTCGGAGTGGGAAACGAGACAAGTTGCGAAGGGTTTCCTGACATAGCTTCTGAGTAAACATTACAATTGGAACCACTCAGTGATTCACATTGTCTGTGCTCGCTAACCCGTTTCGACTTCTTTTCAAGTATGATATGTGTGTACTAGGGGCGTTATTACTCATATTTACCTACGCGCCGCACCAATTTCGCAACCTTCACGTTTTCATGAATCGAAAATCTCGAACTTCTACTCCCAACAAGTGGTTCTTCAGTCAAGTGATTATGCTGATCTGCTATGCTAGGGGAAATTCAATTCAAAAGTGTCGCCTTCACGGTTCCTTAAATTCGTAAATAACAATTTGGTTACTTGTGTTAATAACGTGTTATGGAAAATATTCCAAGCACTTCTTTCATTCACTTTTATAGGGAATATAAGCTCTAGTTTTCACACATTTGGTTTATTAGTTTTTCTTATCTGGCAAAGGTGTCAGGTAAGAGGCTTTGCGGGTACCTAAAGGGTTGGATATCAAGTTATGGAGAAATGCCCGTTCCTTATGAAAATTTACAAAATGAAAACATTCCAGAAATAATTTTCTCTGTATTTGAGAAAATGTCGGTGGAAATCTTTCCACCAGACTGGGTAGGTAGATATTTAGGAATAATTACAATTCAAAAATAACACAAGTGCCAGCCACCCGTTTATTCTCAACCGTTATACTAAAAAAGTTATAGAAGGTTACTAAAGGTTATTCTTATATCATTTTATATAATTGAATTCCAGTCCTGCTTCATAAGTAGTGAATTATCTTTAAAAATCGAATAGTCTATTTTGCAATCCAGGTTAAATCCAGCAGTTAAATATAGTAATAAATAAAGCGAACATTTGTGACTTAGCTTATTATAGAACCCTATTGCTAAATGACATCAGAAATGTGGCTGATAAGGTGGTCGTGCCCCTTTAAAACAAAATTTGGGTCAAATCGATTGCGGATGGCGCCGTTTACAACACATTTTCTTTGAGAAAATTGAAAATTAAGCAAATTCCATACGCACAATCAATTTTCAAGAGTTAACGACTTACATAGCAATGAATGGCACATGTTTTAATATTACCCTTTTTCAGACGTTAATTTCTTCCCGTATAATTTATATTTGCTTCGTTTGTTTAAACGCAATTTGTATACCATCATTTATAAATCAGTTACCATGCATGTTTTTAAGTTTAAACACTTATAGTAAGAATTAGGAACACTACCGTAAATTTGTCAACATTTTGAGCTAAACAGTTTACTCAATAGTCGACTATTGTTGTTGATAGATATATTCGTTTACACAAAATGGAGCACTTTAAATCCATTATGTCGAGGCAAGTTTGCATATTCCACCAAAAGTGTAGGTGCCCATCCGCAAAGGCACTTCCCCGTTTTCTATTAAATATTAAATATATTGTATATATATTGATTTCGGATCTCACTGAGTGATATACGATGTGTTGCCAAAGAACATTAAAAAGTTGACATGTTCCGTAGTAAATTCTAAATTTAACTTCACGAATTTCAATTTGGATCACTGAAGAAGGATACTTAGTTTATTTGCTTTTAAAAAACCCCACAACTAAACATTGTTCAAAATAATCCCTTTTTAACAAAATTATTACAATTTCGTTTACGTTTCAGGATATTATGTGAAATAAGAGCAGTATATGTTTACTATGAAGATTAAAAAATATGTAACTCCTGTAAAAAGAAAAGCTTTCACCATATTCCAATGGATTTCACTGCTGTGTAGTCTATGGTTGATCCCCACTGTACAAAGCAAGGCCGATGAGAAGCACACAGCGACCCTCGAGTATAGACTAGAAAACCAACTGCAAGATCTGTATAGGTTTAGCCATAGTGTATATAATGTTACCATACCAGAAAATAGTCTGGGCAAGACTTACGCTAAGGGAGTATTGCATGAAAGACTGGCCGGCCTGAGAGTTGGCTTGAACGCAGAAGTTAAGTATAGGATAATTAGTGGCGATAAGGAAAAGCTGTTTAAGGCCGAGGAGAAACTGGTCGGGGATTTTGCCTTCTTAGCAATTCGAACGCGGACAAATAACGTTGTGCTAAACAGAGAAAAAACTGAGGAATACGTAATAAGAGTGAAAGCACATGTACATTTGCACGACAGAAATATATCAAGCTATGAAACGGAGGCAAATATCCACATCAAAGTACTGGATCGCAATGACCTGAGTCCGCTGTTTTACCCAACCCAGTACACCGTAGTTATTCCGGAAGACACACCCAAATATCAAAGTATTTTAAAGGTCACAGCAGACGATGCTGACCTCGGCATCAATGGGGAAATCTACTACAGCCTCCTGATAGATAGTGAATACTTCGCTATCCATCCAACCACTGGCGAAATCACTCTCCTGCAGCAACTTCAATATGCGGAGAACTCGCACTTCGAGCTCACGGTGGTGGCCTACGATCGGGGATCTTGGGTGAATCAACAGAACCATCAGGCCAGCAAGGCAAAGGTCAGTATTTCGGTGAAACAGGTTAACTTCTACGCTCCAGAGATTTTTACGAAAACCTTCTCGAGCGTGACACCAACATCAAATCCTTTGATTTATGGAATTGTTCGAGTAAACGACAAGGACACTGGGATAAATGGCAACATAGGGCGATTGGAAATCGTTGATGGAAATCCGGATGGCACGTTTCTTCTGAAGGCTGCGGAGACCAAAGACGAGTATTACATCGAATTAAATCAGTTTGCGCACTTAAGCCAGCAACATTTCATTTACAACTTAACCCTGCGGGCTGAGGACCTAGGAACTCCCCGTAGATTCGCCTATAAATCCGTTCCGATTCAAATCAAGCCCGAAAGCAAAAATATACCCATATTCACGCAGGAGATTTACGAAGTATCGATTCCAGAAACGGCCCCCATTAACATGCCGGTGATAAGGCTAAAAGTGAGCGATCCCGACTTGGGTAAAAATGCATTGGTCTACTTGGAAATCGTGGGTGGAAATGAGGGCGACGAGTTCCGAATCAATCCCGATTCCGGAATGTTGTACACAGCGAAGCAGCTGGATGCCGAAAAGAAGTCAAGTTACACCTTAACCGTGTCCGCTATTGATCAGGCAAATGTTGGGTCTAGAAAACAATCCTCAGCAAAGGTGAAAATCAGCGTACAGGATATGAACGACAATGATCCCATTTTTGAGAATGTCAATAAGGTGATTAGTATCAATGAAAACAACTTGGCTGGCTCGTTTGTTGTAAAACTAACTGCCAAAGACAGAGATTCTGGTGAAAATTCATACATATCGTATAGTATTGCCAATCTAAATGCGGTTCCATTTGAAATCGATCATTTCAGCGGTATAGTTAAGACCACATCTCTTCTTGACTTTGAAACAATGAAGCGAAACTATGAGCTGATAATCCGTGCATCAGATTGGGGATTGCCGTACAGAAGGCAGACGGAAATCAAACTGTCTATCGTCGTCAAGGATATAAACGATAATCGACCGCAGTTTGAACGAGTGAACTGCTATGGCAAAGTGACCAAATCGGCCCCGATGGGCACCGAAGTTTTCGTTACCTCAGCCATTGACTACGATGCTGGCGATATTATATCCTATCGGTTGAGCGATGGCAACGAGGATGGCTGCTTTAACTTGGACCCCACATCAGGCTCTCTGTCTGTTTCCTGCGATCTGAAGAAAACATCCTTAACAAATCGTATTCTCAAAGTTTCCGCCACGGATGGCACCCACTTTTCCGATGACTTGATCATCAATGTACATCTAATGCCAGAAGATTTGGGTGGAGATTCCAGTATTCTACATGGCTATGGGTCCTTTGAGTGTCGTGAAACTGGAGTGGCCAGAAGATTAGCGGAAACATTGTCTTTGTCCGAAAAAAACAATGTAAAAAGTGTGTCGCCATCCGTATTCAGTGACTTATCTCTAACACCCAGTCGATACGGCCAAAATGTGCATAGACCAGAGTTTGTGAACTTCCCTCAGGAGTTGTCCATCAACGAAAGTGTCCAATTGGGTGAAACTGTTGCTTGGATAGAGGCCAAAGATCGCGATTTGGGCTACAATGGAAAGTTGGTATTTGCAATTTTAGACGGTGATTACGATTCGGTTTTTCGCATTGATCCAGACCGCGGTGAACTGCAGATCATTGGATATTTGGATAGAGAGCGTCAAAATGAATATGTCCTCAACATTACCGTCTACGATCTGGGTAATCCGACCAAATCGACATCAAAAATGTTGCCAATAACGATCCTCGACGTGAACGATAATCGTCCGGTTATTCAAAAGACATTGGCTACCTTCCGGCTGACTGAAAGTGCCAGGATAGGAACTGTGGTACACTGCCTTCATGCCACGGATGCGGATTCCGGAATCAATGCTCAGGTGACATATGCCCTATCGGTTGAGTGCAGCGATTTTACGGTCAATGCTACTACGGGATGCATTCGTTTAAACAAACAACTGGATCGCGAGAAACAGGATAATTACGCTCTTCACATAACTGCCAAGGATGGTGGCAATCCCGTGCTCTCTTCGGAGGCTCTAGTATACGTCCTGGTCGACGATGTCAATGACAACGCTCCGGTTTTCGGAGTGCAAGAGTACATATTTAAGGTGCGCGAAGATCTGCCCCGCGGAACAGTGTTGGCCGTAATCGAAGCGGTGGACGAAGACATTGGACCAAATGCTGAGATTCAATTCTCTCTCAAAGAGGAGACCCAGGATAAGGAACTATTTAGAATCGATAAGCACACTGGTGCAATAAGGACTCAAGGATATCTGGACTATGAGAACAAACAAGTGCACAACCTTATTGTCAGTGCCATCGATGGCGGAGATCCCTCTTTAACTTCGGACATGTCCATTGTAATAATGATCATTGACGTCAACGAGAACCGATTTGCTCCCGAATTCGACGACTTTGTGTACGAAGGAAAGATAAAGGAGAACAAGCCGAAGGGAACGTTTGTAATGAATGTCTCTGCACGGGATATGGACACGGTGGACCTGAATTCAAAAATCACGTACTCCATCACAGGTGGCGATGGGCTTGGAATTTTTGCGGTCAACGACCAAGGTTTGTATCGCCTTCGTATGACATCTTATACGGATTATTGCCAATATATATTGCAGGTTCAATAACTTCCTTATCCCAACTCGATGCGGAGACGAAAAACTTTTACTGGTTGACGCTCTGTGCACAGGATTGCGCAATAGTTCCCCTCAGCAATTGTGTGGAGGTAAATATACATACATATATATATATAAAGATTCTCTGAAAACTTAAATGGACTTAATTATTAGGTTTACATACAACTCGAAAACGAAAACGATAACATTCCTCTTACGGACAAACCAGTGTACTACGTTAATGTTACGGAAGCAAGTTTGGAAAATGTGGAGATCATTACCCTAAAGGCATTCGATCCTGATATAGATCCCAATCAGACACTTACATATAATATAGTTTCTGGAAATCTGGTCGGGTACTTTGAAATTGATTCGAAAACAGGTACCATTACTTTAATAAGTTGAGTTGATATATATTTACTTAATTGTTCATGTTCTTAGGAGTGATTAAAACGACAGAACGCAAATTGGATAGAGAAAATCAAGCGGAACATATTTTGGAGGTGTGTTGACTTGTCATTTTCCGGTAGTTATCAAATAGCTGAAACAATTTTTTTTCAGGTGGCAATATCTGATAACGGATCTCCAGTACTATCCTCTACATCGCGAATTGTTGTGTCAGTACTCGATATTAACGATAATAGCCCAGAGTTTGACCAAAGGGTTTACAAGGTGCAAGTTCCGTCCTCAGCCACTGTCAATCAATCTATTTTTCAGGTATGTCCAAGGCTTTTAATGTTGAATTACCGAAAATGGTATTGTATATTATGGTATATGTATATTGTTTTTAGGTCCATGCTATCGACAGCGACAGTGGGGAAAATGGTCGAATTACCTACTCAATTAAGTCCGGAAAGGGTAAAAACAAATTTCGCATCGATAGCCAAAGGGGCCACATACATATAGCAAAACCATTGGACTCCGATAATGAGTTTGAAATTCACATCAAGGCTGAGGACAGCGGAATTCCTAAGAAGAGTCAAACTGCTAGAGTTAATATTGTTGTAGTTCCTGTTAATCCTGATTCCCAAAATGCACCGTTGATAGTCAGAAAGACATCAGAAAATGTCGTGGATCTAACAGAGAATGACAAGCCAGGATTTTTGGTCACTCAAATTTTGGCTGTCGATGATGACAACGACCAGCTGTGGTACAACATTTCCAGTAAGTTAATAGGTAATCCACATTTTGAATACTTATTGAAATTTCGAATGCATTTTTATAGATGGCAATGAAGACAATACCTTTTACATTGGCCAAGATAACGGAAACATTTTACTCTCAAAATATTTGGACTACGAGACCAAACAGTTCTATAATCTGACTATTAGCGTAACTGATGGCACATTCACAACGCTTACTAATCTTTTGGTTCAAGTGATCGATATTAATGACAACCCTCCTCAGTTCGCTAAAGATGTGTATCATGTCAATATATCAGAAAATATTGAGGAGGAATCAGTTATCATGCAACTTCACGCCACTGACAGAGATGAGGACAAAAAGCTATTCTATCATCTACACGCAACTCAGGATCCGTCGTCCCTGGCATTGTTTCGAATCGATTCCATAAGTGGAAATGTTATTGTCACTCAGAGATTGGATTTTGAAAAGACTGCACAGCACATACTCATCGTTTTTGTTAAAGATCAGGGAGCGCCTGGGAAAAGAAACTATGCCAAGATCATTGTAAACGTGCATGACCACAATGACCATCATCCGGAATTTACTGCTAAAATAATTCAAAGTAAGGTTCCCGAAAGCGCAGCCATTGGCTCTAAGTTAGCTGAAGTGAGGGCCATAGATCGAGATAGTGGTCACAATGCCGAGATCCAGTACTCAATTATCACGGGTAACGTGGGTAGTGTGTTTGAGATAGACCCGACTTTTGGTGTAATCACATTGGCTGGCAACTTAAACATTAATAAGATTCAAGAGTACATGCTTCAAGTGAAGGCCGTAGATCTGGGTAACCCACCTTTGTCATCGCAGATACCTGTGCACATCATTGTCACCATGTCCGAGAACGATCCTCCGAAGTTCTCAACCAACACCATTGCAATAGAAATATTCGAAAACCTACCCATCGGAACATTTGTTACTCAAGTCACCGCTCGGTCTTCGTCATCCATATTCTTCAATATTATTTCCGGCAACATCCACGAAAGCTTCCGCATTAACCCCTCCACTGGAGTTATTGTTATCAATGGAAATATCGACTATGAATCCATCAAGTAAGCAATACAATTTATAACAATGTTAATTTTAATTACATTTTATTTTTGTATCCCAGGGTATTCAACCTTACGGTTAAAGGAACCAATATGGCAGCCGAGTCATCCTGCCAAAATATAATTATACATATCCTAGATGCTAACGATAATATTCCGTATTTCGTTCAAAATGAATATGTTGGAGCATTATCTGAATCGGCCTCAATTGGATCTTACGTACTGAAAGTATACGACTCATCAAAAGAGTGAGTGTTCGTAGTTTGACCTTTAGGATATCCATATTAATATATTTTTATTTCATTTCACTTCAGTCATTTAACATTACAAGTCAAGGATGCGGATGTCGGGGTAAACGGAATGGTTGAATACCACATAATTGACGATCTGGCAAAACAGTTTTTTAAGATAGATTCGACAACTGGCGCTATTGAGCTGTTACGACAATTGGACTATGAAACCAACGCTGGTTATACTTTTGACGTTACGGTAAATGAAGCATAAAATAGTTTTAGAATTTTGTGTTTAAATTGTGCATATTTTAGGTTAGTGATATGGGAAAGCCCAAACTACATTCCACTACAACAGCCCATGTGACGATTCGTGTCATAAATGTTAACGATTGTCCTCCAGTATTTAATGAGCGTGAGCTCAATGTAACTTTGTTCCTTCCAACTTTTGAGAATGTGTTTGTTAGACAAGTTAGCGCAAAGGATGCTGATAACGATACTTTAAGGTTTGACATTGTGGATGGAAACACCAATGAATGTTTCCAGATCGAAAAATACACCGGAATAATTACAACCAGGTAAACTTAGCTGCAATATTTATTTGGAACATAAACCATAACTTTTGTTTTTAGAAATTTCGAAATACTAAACGAAAATGATCGGGACTATACATTGCACGTCCGTGCCTCCGACGGAATATTTTCTGCAATTTTAATAGTTAAAATAATGGTTTTATCAGCCATCGACTTAAATTTTGCATTCCAACGCGAATCATACCGATTTTCTGCATTTGAAAATAACACAAAGATAGCCACCATTGGATTGGTGAATGTGGTTGGAAACTCTCTGAACGAAAACGTTGAGTACCGCATTCTGAACCCAACGCAATTGTTTGATATTGGAATCAGTTCGGGAGCCCTAAAAACCACTGGAGTTATTTTCGATCGCGAAGTAAAGGATTTGTACAGACTCTTCGTGGAGGCAAAGTCCGTGTTGTACGACGGCATGAATTCGAATGTTCGCAGAGCAGTAACCTCCATATATATATCCGTCTTGGATGTGAACGATAACTGTCCCTTGTTTGTCAATATGCCCTATTATGCCACGGTTTCAATTGACGATCCAAAAGGAACGATTATAATGCAGGTTAAGGCCGTTGACTTGGATAGTGCAGAAAATGGCGAGGTTCGGTACGAACTTAAGAAAGGAAATGGGGAGTTGTTCAAACTGGACCGCAAAACTGGAGAGTTATCCATAAAGCAGCACGTCGAAGGTCATAACCGAAATTATGAATTGACAGTTGCTGCCTATGATGGCGCCATAACACCTTGCTCGTCTGAAGCTCCCTTGCAGGTTAAGGTAGGTGTTCATAAGAAAAACGGAAACTTTTTAATACAGACTGAATTTTCCATTATAGGTTATAGATCGTTCGATGCCCGTTTTTGAAAAACAGTTTTATACTGTTAGCGTCAAGGAAGACGTGGAAATGTACTCAGCCCTTTCCGTATCCATTGAAGCTGAAAGTCCCTTGGGAAGGAGTTTAATTTACACAATATCTTCCGATAGTCAATCGTTTGAAATTGATTACAACACAGGTAAATTCATCCAGCTATCTTTATTATTTGAAAATTTTCTAAGCTTTTATTCAAATTCAGGCTCAATTTTTGTCGTCAATGAATTGGATTACGAGAAAATAAGTTCACACGATGTTTCTATTCGAGCGACAGATAGTCTTTCTGGTGTTTATGCTGAAGTCGTTTTATCTGTTTCCATTATGGATGTCAATGACTGCTATCCAGAAATCGAGAGTGATATATACAACATAACCATTCCGGAAAATTCTTCGTTTGGAACACAAATTTTAAAGATTAATGCAACTGATAAAGACTCCGGAGCAAATGCAAAACTTTCCTATTATATTGAGTCCATCAATGGGCAAAACAATTCAGAACTGTTTTACATTGACGTCACAGACGGAAATCTGTATTTAAAGACTCCATTGGACTATGAACAAGTCAAATATCATCATGTTGTAGTTAACGTAAAGGACCATGGATCGCCATCATTAAGTTCCCGATCAAATGTATTTATAACAGGTAGAGTTCTGTCTCACCTTACCTCCTACAGACTAATTAAAGATATATTGTTTTTATATTTCAGTAAAAGATTTGAACGATAATGCTCCATGTTTTGTAGAGCCGTCGTACTTCACCAAACTGTCTGTCGCAGCTGTTCGTGGACAATTTGTTGCCCTACCTAAAGCATACGATAAGGATATTTCTGATACTGACTCTCTAGAGTATAAAATTGTTTATGGAAACGAATTGCAAACCTATAGTATTGATCAACTAACAGGAGTTATATCCCTTCAAAACATGTTAAATTTCACCGATAAAAGTAGCACAGTCTTGAATATTTCCGTTTCCGATGGAGTTCATACGACATATGCCCGGCTCAAAATATCCTTACTGCCAGAAAACGTATACAGTCCACAATTTGATCAAAATACTTATGAGGTTCAAGTTCCTGAAAACTTGTTGCACGGTCATAATATAATCACGGTATGATGTTTTAATAGATGAATAGATCGGCTAAAGACTTGTGTAACAATAACTGGTATTTTCAGGTAAAAGCGTCCGATGGGGATTTTGGCACCTACGCGAGTCTGTACTACGAAATAGTTTCCGAGGAAATGAAAAAAATCTTTCTCATCGACCAATCGACGGGTGTAATAACCTCTAAAGTAACTTTCGACCGTGAAAAAAAAGATGAGTACGTGGTGCAACTGAAGGTATCCGACGGTGGAGGTAAATTCGGATTTGCCTCTCTCAAGGTTATTGTAGTGGACGTGAACGACAACGTTCCTTACTTCCTATTGAAGGAATACAAAATGGTTGTAAGCATAACAACGGAAGCGAACCGAACTATCTTGACGGTAAGAAGTGTCTATCCGTGAAAGAAGTCCCTACTAAAGAACTTTAAACTGTTTACTTACAGGTCAAAGCCAAAGACGACGATATTAATGATAATGGATCGGTATATTACCAAATTGTTGAAAAGACTATCGATGAGGCAGTAAAGGATGTGATTGAAATTAACGAGAAAACTGGAGATATTGCTTTTAAAATGAATGCTGAATCTTACGGAGTGAACTCTTATCAGTTTTTCGTTCGTGCTACCGATCGAGGCGAAACTCAATTTCATTCGGAAGTTCCAGTGTCAATCGAAATAATCGAAACAGATGCTCATATTCCCACTTTTGAGAAATCTTCTGTTCTACTCAAGATCATAGAGTCCACGCCACCAGGAACCGTGCTAACAAAGCTACATATGATTGGAAACTATACGTTCAAATTCTCAATAGCTGCAGATCAGAATCATTTCATGATATCCGATAGTGGTGAACTGATTCTTCAGCAAACATTGGACAGGGAGCAACAAGAGTCTCACACTTTAATTGTAATGGCGGAAACTTCCACGGTTCCAGTATTTTTCGCCTACGCTGATGTTTTAATTGATGTTAGAGACGAAAATGATAACTACCCCAAGTTTGACAACACATTTTACAGTGCCAGTGTTGCGGAAAACAGTGAAAAGGTCATATCCTTGGTCAAAGTATCCGCAACAGATGCGGACACCGGGCCTAATGGCGACATTCGGTACTACTTGGAAAGTGATACTGAAAACATCCAAAATATTTTCGACATTGACATTTACTCTGGCTGGATCACCTTGCTAACCTCTTTGGATAGAGAAGTTCAATCCGAGTATAATTTTAAAGTAATTGCTGCCGATAATGGCCACCCAAAGCATGATGCAAAAGTACCTGTAACTATAAAAATTGTAGACTATAATGATAACGCACCAGTATTTAAATTACCTATCGAAAGGCTTTCTGTTTTCGAAAATGCACTGCCTGGCACAGTTTTAATCAACTTACTCCTAATTGATCCCGATATCGAAAAACAGGAAATGGACTTCTTTATCGTTTCTGGGGACAAGCAAGCCCAGTTCCAGATTGGTAAGAGCGGAGAGTTATTTATTGCCAAACCATTAGATCGCGAACAAATCATGTTCTACAACTTAAGCATAATAGCAACTGATGGAAAATTCACTGCCAAAGCCAATGTGGAAATAGATGTAAAAGACATAAACGACAATACGCCTTACTGCCTAAAACCCCGCTATCATATCTCCATTAATGAATCAATCCCGATTGGAACTACACTCGTTGAAGTCAAGGCGGTTGATTTTGATATTCAAAGCAAACTTCGCTTCTATCTTTCGGGCAAAGGTGCGGACGACTTTACTATTGGGAAGGAAAGTGGCATCCTGAAGGTGGCAAGCGCACTGGATCGGGAGACGACCCCCAAGTACAAATTGGTAGCACATGTTCAGGATGGCAAGGACTTCACGCAAGAGTGCTTCTCGGAAATAATCATCACGGTCAATGACATAAATGACAATACGCCCATTTTCTCCATGGCTCAATATAGAGTGAGTGCACCCGAGGATGCACAACTGAACACTTTGATCACGAAAGTGCACGCGATGGATAAGGATTTTGGCGTAAATAGACAAATCAAATACTCCCTAATGGGCGAAAACCATGATTATTTCAAAATATCAAAATCCACTGGTATCATAAGGTTGGACAAAAGTCTCGACCGTGAAACAATTTCGTTGTTTAATCTCACCGTAAAGGCGGAGGACTGTGGCGTTCCGAAATTACATTCCATTGCAACAGTTGCTGTGAACATATTGGACATTAATGACAATCCACCCGAGTTCAGTATGCGACAGTACTCCTGCGAAATTCTAGAAAACGCCACACATGGCACAGAAGTGTGCAAAGTTTATGCCACTTCCATAGATATTGGGGTAAATGCGGATATTCACTACTTCATAATGAGTGGCAATGAACAGGGAAAGTTCAAAATGGACTCCACGACAGGCGACTTGGTGCTTAATGCAACCTTAGATTATGAAATGTCCAAGTTTTACTTCTTGACCATTCAAGCTATCGATGGAGGCACTCCACCACTTAGCAACAATGCCTATGTGAACATCTCTATTTTGGACATTAATGACAACAGCCCCAAGTTTCTGCAAAACCTGTACCGCGTCAATGTCAATGAAGATATATTCGTCGGCTCAAAGATTTTGGACATCAAAGCCACAGACGAAGATTCTGATATAAACGGTCTTGTAACTTACAACATTGAAAAGGGCGACAACATAGGCCAGTTTTCAATAGACCCGAAAAACGGAACAATAAGTGTATCAAGGCCATTAGATCGTGAGACTATTCCACACTACACTTTGGAAATTCAAGCCTGTGATCAGGGAAATCCTCAAAGATGCAACAGTGTGCCAATAAATATAAACATTTTGGACACGAACGATAATGCACCCATCTTTTCCAGCGCCAACTACAGTGTTGTACTTCAGGAAAACCGACCTCTGGGCTATGTATTCCTAACTTTCAAAATAACCGACGCAGACGAGTCACCTAATACCACTCCATATACCTTCGATATTAGGTCTGGAAATGAGGGTGGTCTTTTCCGGCTGGAGCAAGATGGTTCGTTGAGCACGGCCTCGCGATTCAATCACAACCTGCAGGATGAGTTCGTTATTCAGGTTCGAGTTTTTGACAACGGCACACCTCCATTATATTCCGATGCGTGGGTGGCTGTGAAAATAATTGAAGAAAGTCAATACCCGCCCATTGTCACTCCACTTGAAGTAACAATAAACTCATTCGAAGACGATTTTTCGGGCGCATTCATTGGCAAAGTTCATGCCTCGGATCAGGACAAGTATGATGAATTGAACTTCGGTTTGGTGTCTGGTCCTGAAGACATGTATCAGAGCTCGAAGCTTTTCAACATTTCCAACAATACGGGAAAGATCTATGCCATATCCAACCTAGATATTGGTCTCTATAAGCTTAATGTGTCAGTTTCGGATGGTAAATTCCATGTCTTCTCGCCTGTCAAGATCAATGTGGAACTGGTAACCAATGACATGCTAAAAGAGTCAGTTGTTATCCGGTTCAGTAGCATTTCAGCATCTGAGTTTCTCCTTAGCCACAGGAAAACGTTTATGCGCTCTATTCGCAATATCATGCGATGTCGCCAAAAGGATGTAATTCTTATCACCCTTCAATCGGAGCGAATACGTACTGGGGGTAATAGACGAGCCAGGTCCATCGGTTCCGACTTGAACGTAGTGTTTGCAGTGCGGAAGCAGCAAATAATACCCGATTCCGATGAATTCTTCACAAGTGATGAGATACGGCAGACACTGGTAGACAAAAAGAACGAAATTGAAAACGAAACCAACCTGGTGGTGGATGATATACTACCATCAACCTGCCAAAGCAACAAAAATGACTGCGTTCACGGGGAATGCAAACAGGTTTTACAGATTCTGAAGAACAACGTTACCACTACCTTCACGGATGTGATTAGCTTTGCTGCTCCATCGTACATTCAGGTGAATACGTGTGTTTGCCGACCAGGATTCGATGGAAAGCACTGCAAAGAGACTGTGAATGCCTGCTCCACGGATCCGTGTTCCCCGCAGAGGATCTGCATGCCATCTGGGTCGGCATTGGGTTACCAATGTGTCTGTCCCAAGGGATTTTCAGGAACCTACTGTGAGAGGAAGTCTTCGAAGTGCAGCAATGAATCCTGTGACATGGGTCTATTCACTGCGGTGTCCTTTGGCGGAAAGAGCTATGCACACTACAAGATCAACAAGGTAAAGGCGAAGTTTACGCTGGAGAATGAGTTTTCCTACTCCCTGCAGATAAGAACTGTGCAGCAAACGGGCACTCTACTGTATGCCAGCGGCAAGGTGGACTACAACATCCTGGAGATCATAAACGGAGCTGTTCAGTACAGATTCGATTTGGGTTCGGGCGAGGGAGTCATCAGTGTCTCCAGCATTAACATCTCCGACGGGGAGTGGCATCAAATCAGTCTCGAGCGGTCCCTTAATAGTGCCAAAGTTATGGTGGACAATAAGCACGTTTCGCATGGCAGTGCTCCTGGTGTGAATGGCATCCTGAACATTCAGTCCAACGATATCTTTGTGGGCGCCGAAGTGCGTCCACATCCATCGATAATTGGTTACGAGGATATTCAGCGCGGCTTCATCGGCTGCATGGCAAACATCAAAATAGCCAAGGAGTCGTTGCCATTATACATTTCCGGCGGAAGTACCATTGCTGCATTGAAGCGTTTTACGAATGTCGAGTTCAAGTGCGATCCATCCAATGTGCTGGTGCGTCTGGGTATTTGCGGATCTCAGCCGTGTGCCAATAGTGGAATCTGCAAGGAACTCGATACGGACGTGTTTGAATGTGCCTGTCAGCCCCGATATTCCGGCAAGCATTGCGAGATTGATCTTGACCCCTGCTCATCGGGACCCTGCTTGTTTGGCGGAAGGTGCGACTACCACGGACCCAACAACTACAGCTGCACGTGTCCCATCCACCTATCCGGAAAGAGGTGTGAGTACGGCAAGTTTTGCACTCCGAACCCGTGCAAAAACGGTGGAATTTGCGAGGAAGGCGATGGAATATCGCACTGCATGTGCCGGGGATACACCGGACCCACTTGTGAGATCGATGTGGATGAGTGTGAGAACCAGCCGTGCGGCAATGGAGCCACCTGCATCAATGAACCTGGAAGTTTCCGATGCATTTGTCCTTCCTATCTTACAGGAGCCAGTTGCGGGGATCCCCTGTATTCGAACTCTATTTCTACAAAGTTAAAGAACTTTTCTATAGAGCACATAAGCGGGATCATTGCCGGCGTGGCCGTGGTACTGGTCATCATCATCTGTGTCCTCTGTTGCGTGGTCGTTCGGAGGAGTTCCTCTTCAAAGCGAAGGAACCGACTAGAAAAGGACAAGAACAAGCCGTCGTACAAGGAGGCGAATTTGAACTCACTGGTGGACAAGGACAATTACTGCAAACCAAACGTTAAGTTGAGTAATTTGGAGGTTAACCAGCGGCCCATTAGTTATACAGCTGCTCCAAATGACAACCTATTCCTGAGCAATAGGAATTTTGTAAATAACTTGGACATCTTGCGTAGTTACGGTTCGGCTGGCGATGAACTGGAAAATGTGCCATTCGAGTACCAGAAGGTTAATCGAAACAAACAGCATGTGAACATAAACTCCTGCCATTCCACCGATGCAGATAATGCCTACAAACAAGAATGGTGCGAGCAAATGCATTTAAGAACCTTCAGTGAAAATAAACTGAACAATGGTTAGTAAATAGCTCTTACTGTCAGTTATCAAAAGCAAATATATAAACATGCTCTTTATTTCAGAACTTAAACGAGATTTCGGACCATCTGTGAGTCGCTTCTCAACTGGGAAACTAATCCAAGTTGAAATGCCCAACGTGTGCCACTCTTCCAGTGCGAATTTCGTTGATTATTCAGCTCTTGCCAATGGTCAATATCATTGGGACTGTTCCGACTGGGTTCGCAAAAGCCATAATCCCTTGCCAGATATAACCGAAGTTCCTGGAGCAGAAATTGCTGACTCGTCGAGCTTACACAGCAACGATAGCAACGAGTCCAAGTCGAAGAAAGCCTTTTTCGTGCACAGTAAGTACATAACATAACATAATTTAAAATGAATGCTTATGTCCGAACAATATTCAATTTCCCAATCAATAGGGGAAGACGGAGATGTTGATCCGACGAGGGATATAACCGCGTTGAATGAGGATATCGGATCGGAGTATTTGGATTCGGAGGCAGAGAGCTGCTTGGAGCCGTTTATGTTGCCGAGATCAAGTAATCAGCCACTTTCAAGACTGAGTTCTTTTAATAATATCGAGAATGAAGACTATAAATCAAATACAGGTAATACAATTCGTTAATATACTAGAATAAATGTTAGTACCATTTAAGAAACTAAAAAATAGAGTTGGTGCCATTATCATCACAAAAACTTTTTATGTTTATGTTTAAAATAAGCAGATTTATTTAATTGGCTGTCACAAAATCTAAATTTTCTTAAGTGTCATCATTTTATAATTTCAAACAATTTCTGTGAAACATTGCACACAATTTCAACCCAATCAACAAACCTTCCCCTTTTAAGACATTCTGTTACTCCTTTGAGCTCTCTAACAAATAACATCTTGTATACTAACCTATTTAACTACTTCATTTCATGCAATCAGTGCCTTTACCGTCGAAAGTTAGTCATTCGTGTAAGTTTTTAATTCATTATAAGTAATAGTCCAATGGTAATTTATAAATTCGGGTCAAGCGTCAAAGCTTTTATAAACATTCTATATTTCATAATGAACATTTAGTAAATTAAAAATATTATATAGTACCTTTATAAAAGAATCTTACTTAAAATATCCATATCTTATCTATTCAACAGGCAAAGTATATTTAAGACATCCTGATTCGTATTTACCGACGATGCATTTTCCAAGTGAGACGGATGGAGAAAGCTCTATGACCGAGGGGCCGATTTCTAGGAAGGAAATGAAAACCAGAAGGACGATAAGTGGTAAGCACGGAAAATGCGTATACATATTTTACGAATGTCACAAGTCTCTGAACTTATGCAGAAAACTCAGAGGAGGCATACCTATTTCCATGTGCTGTCGGAGAAATTGGATCCAACAGCAACATTTCGGTTCGACTGTGTGAAATTGAAGATTCTGAGTTGGAGGAGTTTTTACCACAACAACAAACAAACAATTAAATGACATGCTTAATATATAAGAACTACATTTTACACAAATAATTTCTTTTCGTTAGATACTATTTTCCATAGGAAAACTTTGGTTATATATTTTCAATAAAAAACACGTAAATAACTTAGCGTCTTTACTGCACTTACATAGTATCATTACTTTAATACCCAGGTAAGCCCCCATTTACGAGTTATATAAAAAGTGCGCATTGAAACATATTGTTTTAAACTATGTATTTATTTCTTTTTGCTTGCCTTGGCCAACTTTTGAGCCATATACTTTTTTCGCAGTTTTTGAAGCTTGTTTGCGCTGCCAAACCATTTATTGAACTTTTCCATTAGCTGAAAATAATTGCTGTTAAATGAAATTGTCGCGAAACATGTAAGTAAGCATATACCTTCTCATCAGGAGGCAAAATCGGCGGCTCATTCTTGCTCAGGAAATATTCTAGGAACTCGTTTGGATCCAATGCCTCATTCTTAAGTCGCATTTTACGGTCGATGCTCAAGGTCTGCTTTACATTATCATTAATGTCGCCAGAGTTGTACGCTTGCAGGACTCGTGCCAGTGCGGAGTAGGCGTACTCTCTCATATCATCTGGGGCGTTCTCGGTCATCATTTCTAGCCACAGCAGGAAGCTTGTTCCGTAATCGCACTTCGGTATAAGCAGGACTTTTTGGAACGCTCTCTTGATGCCTCCGTTGGCCGCCCAGGGCATGTTACTCGTGCCGACGAGTACAATTTTGTCATTTTTCTTTAGCGGCTTCAAGATCTTGCCAGTTATTGAGGTACCCAGAAGTCGGGGGTTTATCTCTACTGCTTCAGGAGGAATCTTTTTCCAGAATAGTCTATGAGCTTCTTCGATGTACATTATGGTGGGCTGAAAAGCCTTAGCCACCTTAAGAATGACATGTAGGAAATACTTTAAGTCATTGGCATATTTGTAGGTCTTCTCGGGACTCAGATTCATGAAAACTGCATCTGGGGTATGCAGAAGGTTTGAGCGCACGAAAACAATTATAAACAAAATGTTAGTATACCTAATTCTGATGCAATGATTTGACACAATAATCTTTTTCCGCTATTTAGTGGTCCAATAAGTAAAATAGACTTCGGTTTCGGAATATCGAATTCTCCCATTCCCAGCATTGACTCTTGAATAACCATTTTGATATCACCCTTCGCTGGACCCAATGTGCTGAATTTCATACATAGCGATATTACATTTTTTGAGTCTTAGAAGCTTTAAAAAAAAACTACATACGTTAACCCATCTTCATCTCGAGTGTCGTCTGCCACAAAGTTAAAGTCCGCTACGAATTCATCGAAGTCTCTATGAGCAACCTCCTCTATTATGCCGGCATCTTTAAGCTCATTGTACAAGGATTGCAGTGTCCTATCGCCTGTCATGTCCTTGGGTTTCCTCTTCCTCTTATCCTTCTTCTTTTTTGGATACTTTACTTTGAGAGCCTTATACTTTTCATTGTTATCCTTCGCCAAGGCCTCTCGCAGCAACTCATATTCTACCCTACAAATTGTAAAGTGGTTCCGCTTCAAATATGTTTATATCAAAATATAATAGAAGTAAGAACTATTTTACCTCATGTATTCGTCGACCAAGCCCCTTACTTCTTGATGTATCTTTGCCAGTTCGTCCTCTGTAACCCAATCCTTGATGGGATCATGATTCTTATTAAGATATTCATCAACATTCCTCCAGTCCTTGGCATATTTCTTCATTGTTTCTTCAATCTTTTCTAAAAGTAAAGGATGTTTTTGGAGACATGAAACATTCCTCATTTAGTCAAATTATCTACCAATTGGCTTGCTTGCACTTATCTCGTAGCCAATATCGATGATTCCAGCGTCTCTTAATTTTTTTCGACGTTTCGCTTCCTTCATTTTCAACTGTTTCAGTTTTTCCTTCTTTTTCCTTTTTTCTTTCTTCTCCTTATCGCGAAGCTTCTTTTTCTCGGCCTTTGAAAGCGGCTTTTTACCAAGGCTTTCCTGAAATTCCATTGGGGTCATTGTTTCATCAATGACAACTAATACCGTTCCTTGCTTTACAGGATCGGGATAAGGATGGAAATTTCCAGTCGCATCGTAACTGTAAGGTAAGCGTTATACCTTGCGTCAATTGCGTCTCAATTAAATCAACTCACAATTCTTTGAACCAAGCTCGAATATGATCGGATATATCTTCCATCATCCATGGACTTCGGACTTGCAGAAGTCTGGTGCGCTCATCATTTATCAAGTTAATGAAGTCTTCATCCAGCTTCTTTTTGAGCATCTCGTTTTTGTACATTTCCATAATAGAATTGGCTTTCTGATTAGGTCGCTTCAGTTTCCTTATTTTCTTCATGCCATACAGTTCCTCCTTAAACCTCTTCCTTATTTTAACTATTTTCCGCGTCCTGTAACCACGCCACCAGCTTTGGATTTTACAAGCGGCACAGTTCCGTATTGTATCTAAGGCTTCTTCATCTAGAAAAGATATAGCCAAATGAGAAATGTCCATTGTTTGGAAACAATCTAATATACTTACCATCTAGTGCGGTATCCGCTGCATCATCCTTTTTAATAAGGTTTTCGCAGGACTCATCCGCCTTCAGGAAGTCAGCTGAAAAAATTGTTCTCTTCACGGGAATACTCATTGCCTGATCAGGTTTAAAGGTGAATTTGTAATTGATTTTCTTTCTTTGATGGACCTTTAGGAACTTTTTCTTGTCGTACTTAATGTTGGACTTGTAGACCCGAGCGCGGCGTGCCCTCTCGTGAGCTTGAATAAGCTTCACGGCCTCACTGATCGGAGCCCAATCCTGTGCTGCTTTCTCCTCCTTTTCTTCGTCGTTCATGTACAATCGGTTGTCGGTTATAATATTTTGAATGTCCAATGGGCGACGGTACAGAAATTGGGGTGATCTCCATATGACCAAGTCCCGTGGGGTTAGCTTTCTAGCGATCAAGGCCTTGTCTATATATATGTATTCGCTCATTTCCAAATCTTTTAACTCCTCCTTTAGTTGCATTAGCTGCTGAGTGGCACTCTCCACCAAAACGCGGACCAATGCCCGCTTTTGTACTTGGAAAGTGTTGTGGTATATGAAGCTTAGCTTATCGACCAGCTCCACGTATAACACATAGAGCTCTGCAAAAATTTTAAACGATACTGCTTTTTCTTCTGGAGGCTGAATCTTTTTCAGACGGTTCTGCTTTTTTATAAGTTGTCCTATTTCCTTGCGCGTGGAGACCCAAAATTTATGGTTAAGATCGAATGACATTTTGGATTTTTGCTTTATGTGTGCCTTGCTAAATAAAAAATGTCTTGGTGTGTTAAGAATATAGTTTGTATTTATTTGCTTCTGTACACTTAATAAAAATAAGTCGATTACCTGATTATTCAAGGGCTACTTAGTACCAATATAGATTTTGATTTCATATAAATTTATCACTTTATTTCACTTAAGATACGATAATCAGGGGATCTGAAATGGAACAACCACTGCCTCTTTGTGGTCGATTTGTATGTGCGAAACACTGATGTGTGCTTTCTCGGTGAAGATTTTCATCTAAAAATACACGGAATAGGTAGTTGGAGCATTTTATGCAGTCCCATACGCCATTTAAGAAAAGAACTTACTTGAGCAGTGTCTTCTGGATAAGTTGGCTTAGATAGATAGAACTGATGGCTTGGAACATCCTTAAGCAGGCCTGTAGTTTATTTAAATGTTAGTCATGTTTTCTTTTTTCTACGTACTAATATTGCAAACCTTTTGGCGCGATGCTGGAGTGCTGGCCGTTGTTCCACTGCTGATGCAACCGCTGCGAGTACAATCTTATCCTATCGGCGTACTCCTGGTGCTCCAAGCTGTGGCAGTCCATGGCTCCAACGTTTATCATGTTTCTGAATAGCAAAGGAGTGTAAATACAAATATGCTGCTTTTGTCAACAATTAGGGGTAATATGGATCAGAGCTCTGTTGCTATGCTGCATTGATCATCCCGATAATGCTCGGGAATAGCCACAGTACATACTAGATGCTGCCATCGCTATTCTACTTGAATATACTATTGATTTGCTGCCTATTGCTAGCACCCCATTCAATAGAAACCCATATGCTGTTGACTACGTACATCGCAGTATTCTGCACCAGTCTGGAGAGGGCGTTTTGGTCGTCCTTCTTGGGAAGGGAGTGGGCGTAGTCGTTGCTGAGGCCATCGGAATTGCTCCTCCGAAGGGCAGGACTATGGTTCACGGGATCCACCAGAAGGTGTGTCCGCTCGTTCGGCTCGTTGGGCTGCAGGTGAAACGCAATATGTTTTCGGTCAGTTGTGTGGGAAAAAGGGGGCTGTGTAGATTACCTGGGCACCCGGGTCCTCGGTGCATTGCCAGCAGTTGCAGATCGAGGCAAAGTAGCTCCAAACAGAGTGCACATAGTCCATTCTAAGTGCAATTGTTCAATTGTTCTTTATTTTTTTATGCAAGTTCTTCTAGAGATGGAATAATGTATATTCGATAACAGATTGTTACCAGACTGGTTTAAGCAGCTGTAGCGCCAGTTGCCACATCGCTGTTAGAATTTGCGTGTTATCGATGACTGCGCCAAAAATTACAACTTTAATCGGAAATCAAACGGATTTATTGTTAATATTATGAATATTACTTTATAATATTGCAAGTTTATTTTTAAGTTATTGTTAAATATTTATTAACGTTTATACTTACACTGTGTTTTTTGCATTAAAATTATATAAAATATGACCTATTAATATATTGCATATTACTGAGAATCTGAAAGAAGTTTAAGTGTTGTGCAATTTTTTTATTTATTTATATATCTCCTAAATGTCTATAGATATATCTAAAACCTTTTTCCATGCCCACTGCAACGCCTACAAACCAACAATAACTGTCACGCCCACACTTTTTTTTTCTACCGAAATTCCAGAAAATGTTGAAATTTCTCGTTCGCGATTCCACTAGCTGAGTGAAGGGTATCTGATAGTCGGGGAACTCGACTATAGCATTCTATCTTGTTTTTAAATAAGACAGTTTTCTTTTTAATTCGAAATATTTCCTTTGCTGTTTCATTGCTGCCCCTTGTATGACATTTTTCCCAAAAACCAGCCGA